ATGCATGTATGTTAAAATTCAAGAAATTAGTCTAAATGACAAGACATCTGAGATTTTATTTTCAAGCTTCAGCTGGATTACTGCACTAGACTTCGAAGCAGTTAACATTCATCTGGACTGAAGATAGGAAATTCTTGGGTATCATCACAGAAAAGGTTAAACTCTTTTCACTAGAATAATGATCCGTTACTATAAGAATTCCACGCATAGGATTTTTTTAAGTTCTTAATTTCAGAACATGTACAGCCGTAGAATCACTTATAAGTCAAAGGACATAGACAGTTATGAATTACCAGTTATATGCTTATTTTTTAGTTCTTCACCTAACCCAGAATCCTTTCAATTGTGCCCCTGATATTGATTGGAAGTTAATATCAAAAGAAACCTGACTGGCATTCATACATTAGAAGAGCTAAAATGTAATTTTCTGTTGTTATAGACTTCGAAATCCAACTCCTTCTTGATTAGACTTATTTATCCAACAGCAGTAATAAACTCTTTCAAATATCAAATGACGAGTTCTTTTCCCACAAGCAAGCCATTAGTTGCATTACCTGCATCGGTTGTGAACCAGTGTCATGGAGTTTCTGGCTTGACACTCTTCCCTCAAACATTTAGTAGGTTCAGATATTCGCCCTAAAAAAGTCATCAAATTATGACGACGTAAAATGGCATAGATTGCTCGTCAAAGCACTATGGAGAAATGTCCACTAGAATTACCTCTCTCGACAGCAACGGGTTCTGAGCAGTATCCACACACGAGGCATCTGAATATAGCTTCCCTGATTTCCGGTATAATTGAGCTACATCGAATAATCATTCCCTTCAATGATACCATCCTCTCAATATCTAAGGAAAAAGGTAGCATTGTTAACTTACCATTCGTAATATCATACAAGCACCACAATAAAGTTAGAAAAAAAGAGTGAATGATAAACCAAACTCACCAGATGGATTCAAATTTCTCATAGAAGTTGAGGATTTTAGATTAAAAATTCGAGTTTGAATGTGCTTCTCGAACAACGGGTTGATTCTACTAACCATATTCATCAGAACCAAATCAAAAATTGCAAGAACCTCGAGTGGGTATCTGACCATTTTTGTGTACAAGTCCGGATCATAATCAAATACATCGTGAGCATCAACGTCTAGTGAATCCCCCTCAATTTCAATGACTTGTTTGATAGCCGTCTCGTATTTCCCCTCCATGTGCAGCCCATCACTCTGAGATGAATGCTCTCTGAAGTGCTTTAAAAACCTCTGAATCGCCTCATTCACGTCTTCGACGCTTATATTAGTACCCCAGACGAAGGTAGGCCTAACATCGTCCGCACTGTAGCCCTCACCTCCTTCTGATGACAAAGGCACGTCATCCGTGGATGTGGGCGTGGCTGCAACAGGGGTGGACATGGACCCTCTCCGACCACCTCCCCTTTGCCTTGACCTCGATGGAGTTGGGGTAGCATCGGATGAGGCGAATCGAGATCGATTAGACGGAGGAGTTGCGAACGCAGACGGTGTTGAAGAACGCCCGCGCCCTCTGTGGCGAGCAGCATCACCGGGAGAGGATAATGTGTTGCCAATTGGGCTGGAAAACGAATCATCGGGAGAGGAAGGACCTGCATAATTTGGCCGAAGTCGTAAGCACGCAAACGAAAATGAAATCCTAAGAAGAAAGTCGAAGGAGGTTGGATGCTAACCGTTATTGAAATTCGTCGGAGAAGAGTCAGAAGCCATGACTATCTGTGAAAGCAACAAGCACACCAGCAGAGAAAAAGGAGGGAAAGTGCTAAGTGGAGCTCCGAAGGCGTTCTGCAGCCAGATATGGCGGGAGGAAGACATGATTTTCCCGCCAGAAAAGTTGGGTCAACTTTGTTTGAACGTGGGCTTTTAAATTGGAATAGTAAGAGACTGGAGAAAGGCCGGGTACTTGTTATGGACCAATAGAAGCCTGTACTCATAAAGTTGGGCCGACTTTGTTTTCGCTCTCTCGTGTATTTCTATTTAATTTATTTAGTCTGGGCTTTGCCCACTCTTTTCATCAGGAAAAAAAGAAAAGAGAGAACGAGGGGTTCACCAAAAATAATAATAATAATAATAATAATAATGGATACGGTATTAAAAAAAATAAAATCTAATTAGTGAAGGATTTTTAAACAGTCATTCAGTATTTAATATTTCCAGCCAGTTCAAATTTAATATGTCGTCTTTATATATTTATGTTGCAATTTCTGTTTAAATATCTTACATTACGCACGTTTATTTTTTATGAACGTAGAAAATTGGAATTAGGCAGTTAGCATTACAGCAACTGCAGCGTCTACACATGCTTTATTATCTAGCTTTGCTACTTCTTCCTCTTGTAAAAAATCCAATGACACCTTCTAAAAATTATTTATACCATGTTTTATTTATTGTACGTGATTTGGGCTGAGTTATAGCATTGACAGCATCAGTAAGCCCTGTGGTTTGTTACACAGTGATATTTAATTAATTGAATATGCTTCTTAAAATATTTGATAGCAAGCGTATTCTAAAAAAATTGTTGGTGTGATTCCAAATGGATGCATTTATGGTCTATTTGTACTAGCAAGGGCCCACGAGGCTTAAGTTTGGCATGCAGGGGTCCACATTTTAAGTAAAATTAGGGATATATTCTTAATAAGACTGTGTGTCATAATTGAGAGGGTATCAATCAATTCCTTGTAGAAAAGTGAGACTAAAAGTTAACAGAGCGCACACAGTTTATATGATGCTTTACCCTAAAAGCTAACCTGAACTCATTCCCACTTCCCACAAGATGCTTAACCTTGCATTCCCATTTCTCTTCTTTTCTTTTCTCCCATTCTATGCATGTCTGTTATTCGTGTGGTTCCCACTAGCTACTCATGCAATGCTATATCTCCCATTCACAGTGTCTGTTAATGCATTCCATTAAAATGTGTAGCTTTTTAAGGCCTCATCAGTTGCTCTTTTTCATGCAGAACAGAGTTTTGATATGAATATGAAATTTGCGTGGTTCGGTGCTTCCCCAAAAGGTTAGGATAGAGATGTTATATTTCCCTTTTCAAACGTTTTTAAGCATAAATTTTTAGTCCGCCTGAATCATATTATTGGCAAAAAAATTCATAACAAAATATTTCATATATCAATATATAAATTTATGTGTGTGTATATACCAAATCTATAATGTGTTGAGAAAATTAGACGCACACATGAAGTTATAATTATAATGTTTTTTGTTGCTTACAGATATATTTTTTATTATAGGTAATTTTGTTTCAAATATGGTTAAACACTAAATGTGTGAATACATCTTTTAGTAAAGATTCAGTTCAGTTCATCATGTTATGAAAATTTAGCTCATTTTGGTAAATTCAACCTATCAATAGTCATAATTATAATTTTAGTAAAAAGTAATATAGAAATATATTTTCTCTTGTCTTATTTATAGATCACTCCCAATATATTTTATGAAAATTGAGAAAAATCTTATATCTTATTAACTTTATCTTAAAAATTAATAAGTTTTCACTTTTATCTTTAATAAACATTTTTAAATTTTATTATTGATATTTTTATTTAAAATATTTAATAAAAGTAAAAATATAAAGATGAGTATTAAAAATTAATAAATATCTTATAAATAAAATTTTACAAATAAAATTAGAGGAGTAAATAATAGGATGTTGCGAGTATCCAAATCTCCCTGTACCGACGCGAAAACTGTTATGAGTACTAGTACTTGAACTACTTCCTGATGTGTTTGAGTGGCCATGCATCTTTATTCTTTAGCAAACTAGCCGGGTTCGAACAACATCTAGCTCTCCAAACAGAACATTAACTTTTAATTATATTATGATCATATATCGTCGTTGAGGCACCTGGGAACTTCAGGGTTCGAGGCCGAAGCGATACAGAACTGACAATTTAATGATACTAAATTAGCAGTCCTTCGCAACTTTTATTTGCCCAGTAAGCTGCCAAAGTACGCACCATAAAAGAACGGGGACAAATTTAGAAGTGACACGAAGTTCGGTAAGGGCATCATGATCATGATATGACAAACACCTAAAAGAGACAAATTAAACTGCGAAACCAGCTTCATTCACATTGTATGGGACACAAATGCCAGATTACCTGTCAGGAAAAAAAAAAAAGAAAAGAAAAACAAAAAACCGATTACATTACTCATATGACTATGACTGTCCAAAACCTTTTCTTGTGTAGTCTAAATATGTTACTGTATAAATTAATATATAATGCATATCTATGTTTCAAGTGACATTACAGATTTTACAAAGCATTGATTATTATTTCTTTCCAATAACGTCCTTTTATTGAAATACTTTACAATTATCTCCTTCCAATATAACATAATGTGAGGAGATAGATTATGAAAGTAATACAAATATTGATAGCGTTTAATAATTGTATATATAGTTTTGAAAAACTGTTTTTATTTTTTATGACAAAATTAATTAATACCATTGACCAATTTTAACCAACTTTCTCAACAAATGTGAATTATTATTAAAAGTGACTCAATAGAAACTAGAGGGAGTACTCATGAAGTATCAGTATCTTTTGTAAAAATGAATTATCACAAGACTTTAAAATAAATTGCTGCTCGCCTCTTCTTCTTTTTTTTTTTTTTATGTAAGATACTGTTACTTTGCAATGGAGCATGAGCGCATGTCCATTTATTTCGTGTGCATGTACTACACATATACACATAATTGAAAGACAGTCAAATGGTTATACAGAGATTTGGACGAACTTGTAATCTCATGTGTTAGGATTTGAATTTTCTTTCTTTCTTGAAAATGCTTATCCAGGAATATAATCAATATCAACGTTGATTGTGCACTCCTCCAAGATTGTAAACACGTTTAGCCACTAAGTTGAAGTTGACTTATTCTCAATTACGATGTCATCCCACTCATAGAAACAACAAAATTTATTATATCAAATCCGTAGGTCATTGGTTTTCAGCCTTTCACAGGTAAAGTACTTGAATCATATGTATTTATATGGGTGTGATCAGCCTACTCAAGAAAAATCCTCCAGGGATAGCCGTATAGCTGTAACAACAGGTGGATCATATATCGGCTTAATGAGAGACAAAGTAACTATTAATGTCTCCAAAAGAAGGACTAATTAACTACATAAATTATCCACCAATTATTGAATACTTCCTGGGGGTACTCTAAGATTGATGATGCCATCAACGTCTCTCTCTTTGTCGGCTTGAGTTGAGAGAGAAATGATGCTTAAGGGTGGGGGCTCGAGAAATAAGGCATAGAAGGAAAGGGAAAAGAATATGTTGGATGAATGGCAGAGTCACGAGCAGAAGACGATGATAATGGAGGAGCCACTATTGTTGCAGCATCAATATGGGTGTCTGCTGGCACGTTGATTGGATTGTTATGTTGAAGAATAAGAGGGACTGATGAGGAAGTCTCACCAACAACACCACCATGATCTTGAGAAGGTCCTTGATCATATACAAGACCACAGAACACACGTCCTCCAATCGTCACCGACGTATGGTACGCATATTCATTCACCCAATCATCCCTTGATCTCACTTGTACGCACCGAAACATAGCTGTCATGCTCAACCAACCTGGAAACTTCAACACCTTTTTGTCTGAAACAAACCACACAGACTTACTCAAGTTAGATTTATCATTCTTTTATGAGTCCCAACACATTGGGGGTCTCACAAGATAGAAGTTTATAAGTTAAAAGGCTCTCATATCCAATAAGGTTAGTAATCTTTAATTTTGGGAAAAGTTTTCTTTTAAAATTGTGCTTGTAATATTAATGTTTTTATTGAAAGGCCAATGTCCATGAAAAATATTACTCACAGCAAGTTCTGGCTAGTCAGGAGCGGAGTGAAGCATATCAAGAAAGTTTACAAAATAAGTGGGGGGCTTATAAGTCTTATGCGGTTGTCCCACCCAAATTACTAGTCTTTTGGATGGACATGCTCTCTTTTTAAACTTATAACATATGTTTAATTAATCATCATTAACCCAGAACCTCACTATATTACCAATCCAAAAATTTCGAATTCGATCATCATCGTTCTTCCGGTTCTTTCAGCTAATTAATTAAATTTCGGAGTCCAGTAGGCATATTTATCAGATCATGTAGTAAGGAGGAGGAAGAAAGCAAGCTCAGATCAGTCTATCCTAGGTCATAATCAAGCAGAACTGAGAGATACGGGTTCGAATTATTCTAGTTCTAGCCAAGTTAAGAAACCAAAATGAAACTGAAGACTGATGAGAAAGTGAGAGTAAGCTAGGGCAAACCTGGATAGGGGTTGTTGTGGTTGTGCCTTGTATGGCGTCTTCTCCGATCCACAGGAACCCAAGTGCTGTGAACATGTGTTTCGCACTCGAAGCCTTTGTTGTTGCAGCAAGTTCTGCATCTCTTGTATTCACAGCCTTTCTTCGCTTGGTTCCCACAGTCTTGGCACTTATTCCCACTCCTCGCTAGTCGTACTTCTCCCCCTTCCATTTCGTATGATCAATTATTTCAGGATATTAATTTCCTAGGGCCACTCTTTCAACTCCAGGTCTCATCTTCACCTTTAATCTCTGTGGTGGTGGTGGTGGTGATGATGGGTCTAATTAAAAGGAAGCAAGAAAACTTTCTTCTTTTCGCGTTTCAAAGAATTGTATATTAATATATTGTCACAAGCACTACTTGTATTCAGTTCACGAACACAATTACATTTTCACCATTATTGCAAAGCTATTCACACCAGCAGAATCAATTCTAATACGTATCAAATTAATGTCCAATGTGTGTTCTGCATAACAAGCAATATATTGATTTATTGTGATTCTAATTAGAATGATGGGAGGATTTAGCGTGTGATATATACAATACAACTCTTGATCTGCAATTCTAATAACAGTTGATGTGTGTGGAAGTACTTTCATAGTACTCCTACGTAAAAACATCATTAATATTAAGAACTCACCGCACCAACAGAAGTCCATTAGATAGTGAGAATCGAAGCTACACACACACACACGAAACTTTATTTTACTTCAAATTCCACTTAAATATTATGCATTTTTGTCACATCAAGCTAGATGGCTTTTATACGCTTTCATGGTTATGTTAAGTACAGTATTTCCGTTTATTTGGAACAATCTTTTGAAGAAGTGGTCATTTATATATAGACATAATGGAAAAATGTAAAAGTACTCAATTATTTGGTACATGATAATCAAATATTCTAAAGAATTAACTCTTAGCTCCTTCTCTCAAATAAGAGAAGTATGCAAATGTGTCATCCTCTCCCCTAAAATGGGTCCCATTTGCCAAACATAACCCAAGGGGAAATAAACGAGGTAGGCAGACAATTGTACAATATGGTCCTCTTCCTATTCTCAAAAGGGGAAATTATTAAATTACTGTTATAGTATTGAAGCATATTTTCTAATGGAGAGATAAATGGACTCAGGACAAGAAATTGAAAGATGCTTCAGCTGTGTTGTCAGCACACGGAATAAACAAACACTTGCAGCATAAATTGACTTTCCACAATGATCATATATTTTAGCATGATAAATATATGGTATTTTATTGTATGCTCTGATTGTAGGCTTGTTTTTATAAATTATAGATGTCTCGTGTCTCTTGATGCTACAACACTAACATATTTTAACATATGGGCATAAAAATCAAATCAACACCGACCTGACGAAGACAGTGCTTTCCGACTTCGGAGCAAATTACGTCTCATGACAACATTATTCGGATTTAGTGCTGTTTTTTGAGGGGGAAAAATGTGCTGTTTAGGTTTAGTTTGGCTAAATTTTATATTTTTATTAAATCAAGGTGTTATTTTCAGAAACTGCCAATTAAAAATTATTTTATTTCATATCTATAATTTACTTGCCCTAATTTGACAAAATATACAAATCAATTGGAATAAAAAAAAGGTGAAATATCAATTTAGGACAACTGGAGGTATTTCTTATCAAACTCAAGATTCTGATTTTTCATTGCACTTCCTTGGTCCTTAGTTGAAAATAATTTTTTTATAGAAAATGACTTAATTGCCTCTCTTAATGAAAGAAAAATGAATAAATAAGAATTGTTGTTAACGTCTAAATATGTTATTGTCAATCATGAATTAGTTATTATCAAAACCCGAATTGCTTATTATTTATGTAGGGTGAATACTTATTCTATTAAATCTATATTGTCAATTTTTTAATCTTATGTTAAAATTCAAATGTGTTGTTGTGAATCACAAATTGATTATTACTAAAGTCGGAATGGCTTGTTATTGATGCAAAGAGAACATTTGTTCTATCAAAATCATGCTATTATTTTTTCAATCTTATTAAATTCTAAATGTGTTATTGTTAATCATAAATTGATTATCATCAAAACCTGAATGACTTGTTGTTTATGTAAAGTAAACACTTATTCTATTAAATGTGTGCTATCTGTTTTTCAATCTAGTTAAATTACAAATATATCATTGTCAACTGCGAATTTGTTGTTGTTAAAATCCAAATGGCTTGTTGTTTTATGCAAAATGAACACTTCTATTAAATTTGTGTTGTCAATTTTTTAATCTTATTAAGTTTTAAATGTGTTATTGTTAATCATAAATTAATTGTTATAAAAAATCAAATGACTTGTTCTTCATGTAGGGTGACGCTTGTTATTTTAAACTTTAGAGGTAATTTCATCATTTATCATAAAACTTATTTTTAGCTAAGGATGAAGGGGGTGCATTAAAAAACCAAAATCTTAAGATCCTTTGGTGATATAAAATACCTCTAGTGGTCCTTTGATGATATTTTCCTAATAAAAATGTTGGCAGAATGTAATAATTTTTGTTAAGAAAATTAATCATTTGATCCTTATAGTATTGGTCTAATTATAACTTAGTTCCTAAATTTTGATTCATTGTAACTCAATCCTTATAGTTTTAACTCAATTGTAACTTAATCTCTTATAATTTAGTTTTTATAGTTTCAACCACTTAAATATTAGTCTCTATATTTTAAAAAATAAAATTATAAAAATTTAAAATATTTTGAACCTTTAGTATTTATATTATTTAAAAATTAAAATATTAAAATTATAATATTCTAACCTTTTAATATTTATAATATTTATGATATTAGTAATAAAATTATAAAGATTAAAATTATGTTAAAATTTATTACTAATATTTTAAATTATTAAATCCTTTTATCTTTATAAATATTATAAATAATAAAGGTTCAAAATATTTTTAATCTTTAAAAATTTATTTTTTAAAATATAGATACCAGTGTTTAAGTAGTTAAAATTATAAGGACTAAATTGTAAGAGAAAAAGTTCAAGAACTCAATTACAACCAAGTTAAAATTATAAAGATTGAGTTATAATGAATTAAAATTTAAGAATTGAGTTACAATTGGGCTAAAACTATAGGGACTAAATGATTAGTTTTCTTTCTCTATTTTTTCTTCCAAATTTGCACTCTATTTAATGTCACACTATCTTAAATTTTAATTACTTTCATAGATTTTTAAAAAGTATTATTAAAAATAAGTCATTATTATAATATTTAAAATTTGAAACAGTAAAAGTAGTTAGGAACAAAATGAAAAAGCAAAAAGACCAATTGAGAAAAACTATAACTATATACTCTCTTTATTTTAAATTATAAGATACTTTTAAGAAAAATTTACTATCTCAAACTATAAGACACTTGGAGAAGATTAAAATTTTATTAAATAAACTTATTTTAATATGATCATTTCTCTCTTTATTTAATACTAATTAAGTATAGATTTAATAATATTATTTTTTTGACCAAAATAGATTTAATATTATTAATTAAATAAAAAATATTTTTTAAAGTTTATATTTTTATTTTAAAAAAATAAGATTGTTAAATATATTTAGTAAAATTTATTGACATATAAAATTTTATTAAAAAGTATTTTATAATATGATATGAAAGCATAATATGTGTAAAATTGAGTCAATGGCATTGTCGGTGAAATTGAATCATTTGCACCTCACGCATGAATAATTGGGTCTCAGTCGATAGTATTCATAGAACGATCTTTTTCGTTATGAATTTAAAAGCTGACACGAAATTATGAAAAAAGCATTTGTAGCTACAGTTGGCAAGACATTAAAGATGGAATGACATCTTGATAATGCAGTCGGAGTTCTTATGATGGCGTTGGGTAGCCTGCCAATGTTTTACGGGGCAATAAAGCCGTTACTCATTTCCCATCAGATCCTTATATATAAAATATTTTTAATTAAATTATATAAATTAATAAAAATTATTTATTTAATTAAAAGTACAATAATATTTCAATGTTATCCCTGATGATTATAAATAAAAAAATAATTTTTTTAAGTAAATTAATAATAATACTTTTTTATTTTTTTAATTCAATAACAGTATAATGGTCTATTTATTAAAAAAATATGTTAATAAATTTTTATATTTAATGATAAAAAATATTTTAAAATTTTTTTTATATATAAAGATGGATAGAGTATATTATATTGAACGGAGACACCTATATAAAAACTGCTTGTAATAAAGCAATACTAGTTAGAATTCTGAAATTTCAGCACGCAGATAGAAACTCCAAGTCCGACAAGTTTCTATGTGAAATAAAATTCAAATCCTGACATTTAGTCAGATCCATTGATGAATGATCATGCGTAACACACACACACGAGATTACAATTAAATTATTAATCATAGAGGACGGATGATCAATGAACTGGCACTGACGATCAAATAAAGAATAGGGAGTTATTTAATTATGATAGAGGAAGCAATGTCTTACAACTAAAGGAATGTAACCTCGACTAGAAACAAATGAAATGCATTTCGCCGAATAAATCTGCAAGAACCGCAACTCAAGCAAGTTTTGTACCCGAGAACCCATCATCGCATCAAAGTGCGGCCCCTCACCCTTCTGTACGGAAAACTAACCCAACCAACAGTGTGACAGTTTTGTTACAATGAGAAAATTTTCAATTTAATAAAAAGGGGAAGTAAAAGGAGGAAATTAAAAAAAAAACAAAAAGGGCATGAAGAAATTCATTCAAACAGAATTTCTTCCGGGACTATATCTAATTCCTACCAGGACATATTACTTGACCAATGGGCTTGCACCTTTAGCAGAAGCCTAGCCAGAAATGAATTGAAAAATGCTCCTATAGACCAACAGAGCAATCATCTTACTTGGGAAGGTGAACAAAGTAATCCAGAAGCATCAGCACCTACCACCGCAACATCACACACAGCACAAAGCTGCCCTTCCTGGCTTGGCACAAAACGGGACATACAATATGGGCATGAGGCGTCCTTCTGTCCTCGATAGATTGGCACATAGGTTGCACCACAGGTCACAAATGGGTTTCGGAAATCATAGTTCAGTTGTGTGGCATCAGTCATATTCCTTTCTGCAGCTGCCAGTACTTGTCTAGCTGTCTTAGCCTGGTTTTCAATAGTAGGATTAGTCTCGAGGAGCCTCCTGGCAAAGTTAGCAGCTGTGGCAAGGTTCTTTGCCTTGTAGCAGACAGACATTGCATTCAGCAAAGCCAGCCTCAAGTGAGGGGCCTGGAGGTTGCAATGGGTGAAATATGCTGCAAGTTCCTGCTGACGTGCGGGGTCATCCTTAATTTCCCTCCTCTTCAGCTCTATTTTCAGACCCAAAACATACTCCTTGACTACGACAATCAATTCCTTCACATCATCGACATCTCTCCTTGACTCAACAACGATCAAAGGGATTGTATAAAGGATATTAATGAATGACCGTAGAGCTTCAGTGAATTTCCCGGCCGTTGTTAACTTATAACCAGCTTTGAGCTTTTCATCCAACTGGGACAATTTGAAAGGAAGAGCTGGTGGGCCTCTTACATTAGGACTAGATGAGTCAGTCCAACCTCTTTCAACTGCAAGTGTTATTATCGGAGCAGATGAAAATCCAAGCAGATAGGAATGACTGCTGGTATAAAGATCAAGAAACATGGATCTCAATGGGGCAAAATTTTTTATGCCAAGTTGTCGGTTCAATAGCCGCATTGCAGTATCAAAATTTCCAGCAGCAGCATGATCAGCTGCAAGAGATGACCTCTGTATCCATATCTGGCTAACTGGCATGCCAGGTTGTGGGGCAATAAAAACTGAAGATCGCATACCAGAGGAAGCTTTTGGAGTGTTAGCGTCAGGAGGCAGCTCTAAATCTTCCATCTCCCATCCACCCTCTTCATCATTATCTTCACGCACTTCTCCATCCTCCAAAATTGCGGCAACATCTCCATTTTGTAAACCATCCACATCAACCATGTCAAGCTCCTCCCCCCAATCCCCCTCAGCAGCCTCATACTCTTCATCAGCAGAAGCCTGACCAATATTGTCAAGGCCCCCTTCAAATATGCCTCGCATGACCCTTAGAAGTGGCCAATCACCACCACACATGACAGGTGATGGTGGAATCAAAAGGGACGGCGTTTTTTCAGCAGGCAAAGGTGGGACATTCTCCCCAAGTTCAGTTGCAATATGTTCAGCAACGTCATGTAGCCCATGGATTGATGCAGTGACATAAGCAAGAGGCAGGTGGCCCACCGATTCCAAAATCTTAACACGCTCGTAGACATCACCCAGATACAAGGCATTGTGAAACTGACCCATCACATCATTTTTAACTTCAGCGATTTTCAGCATCTTGGAAAGTTTTTCCATGTTACCGGTGATGAGATAAAGGAAAGACAGTCTCTCAAAATTTTTGGTCCTCTGGTATGCATACTCTACTATACCTGCATTTCCTTGACGAAGTGCCTCAACCCCCAAACGATACCAATGATCTTTCTCATCAATTGCTGTAGCCGATGCAACTGCAGTTTGAATGTTCCCACTCTCTAAAGCCAAATTAAACCGAGTTCTCTCATCTTTCACGAAATGGAGGGCAACCTCAGGAAATCCTTTCTGTTGTAGATAAGCAATCATAGCCTGCCCGCAAAGCTGTGAATTCCTTATCACACTCATGACAAGGTCATATCTTTTCTTTAACAGAGAGAGTTTAAAAATATATTCAGTTGCATCAATGACAACAGATTTGGTTTTACCATCCCGATCCAAGCAGAATATTGTGTTCCCAGAAACCTTCGTAATATAAATTGGGACATCAAGTGTTTTAATTATTCCACTATCTCCATTAGCAAGACAGTATTTTAAGTGATTTAATGTTGTGTAAATAAATACGCCATTGTCATCCCAGCCTCCACTTTTTACACGAATTGTTTCATGGAGTGTGCACTGGTGAACAAGCTTCTTGCTTGCAATAATAATGGCATGTTTGCTGAGCAAGGCAACATTTTCCATATCATTAGACCAGATGACATACTTAATAAAAGGGGTTTGAAGATCACCAGCAATAATCCTCTGCTGAAGATCAAATATAACAACCCTGTCTTCTGACCTACACAGCAAGTTCCCTGTTCCTGCATAGAAAACAGCATCGGTGGGAATTGGGAGAGCACTTTTTTTAACGAGCTCATTCTTCAAATTCTTTACTAGGACTTGGTTGCTGCTTTTGTCAAGCACAGCAAATCTGTTTCGAGCCACAAAGACAGCAGATCCTCCAAGTCCTCTCCTTGCTTCTTGCATATCACCCCTGCCCAAACTATCCTTGGATATAGAGTACAACTCATAAGATCCACCATCAACATCTGAACATAGAAGAACTGCATTTTCAGTTGGGCTGTAAGAAAGAGTCTTTGGGCTTTGATTGAGGTTTAAAGAACCAGGTCGTCGAATTGGGAGTACTTGTGTCTCTCTGTGTGTTGAAAATTCATGAAAACGCAAGAACCTATCTTTCGTGAAGAACAGAGAGTCACCACTAACTGCAAAAGCTGGCCTTTCTCTCTCCAGCTTAAAGACAATCATGCCACTGTCATGACCAGCAGCCAACAGATTCATTTCAGGATGTGCTGCAAGTATCCAAAATCGGTCATGCTCACGGCGGAATGTTTGAATTCCAGTCCGCTTTGTTGCATCCCATACCCGAATGCTTTTATCCTCAGAATTTGACACAATGATATCATGTCTGGCATGGAACATAACGCATGAAACATTATTCATGTGCCCTCTCAACGTGTCAACTTCCCATGCTTTAGTGTCTGAAAAAGAAAAAATATATTTTATTATAAACATAGAAAAGGTTACTTCAGATTTTCAACTGCACAACGCCCTTTTATGGTAAAACAAAGCCTATGAATTTTAATTCATGTAATAACTGCCTTGGACCTGCAATTTATGCAAGTTCCTCAAAACTAATCCAAATAATCAGACTAGCATCAATCGCTTGGTAAGATTGTAGCCTGCTCAAAATTTAGAATAAAAAAATGAAAAGGCCACGTATGTTTCCATTTAGTAATTATTCAGGACTAAAGTAGATAACTAAGTTTTATACCTACCATTCATCCTCCAGAGTTTCACTTGCCGGTCATCAGCTCCTGAGACAATGAGAGGCAAAGTAGGATGAAATGAAGCCCAATTGACACCACGATCATGACCTTCCAAGACATACTTAACAACCGCATCAACGCCACCAAAGAGATCTGTGTTCATTTGACTCAGTCGCAGTACGTCATCTGCCGGAGACCCTGACTTCCTCTTGAGGGTACCAATATCCCATACACGAACGGTCTGATCCAACGAGGCTGACACGACAAGATCCTCTTTTGGGTGGAACAAAGCGCACATAACGTAATGGTTGTGCCCAGTTAAAACAGAAATACAGGCACGTGACTGCCAGTTCCAAATGCGAATGGTCTGGTCATCACTAGCACTCACAATCCATGGGTTTTCGTGATGAAATTGCACTGTACGAATATAATCAAGGTGTCCTAAAAGAGTAAACAAACATCTGTGCAACTTGTAGTTCCAAACCTTAATCTTGTAATCATCCCCTGTCCACAAGAAAAAATATTAATCATTGAGAAGTGAAATCCCTCCTTGCCACATGCACACAATAAGAAATGAAAATATTCCCCACCCTAAGCAACAAAAAACAAAACAAAACAAACAAACATAAAAAAATCCAAACATCAGGGCAACATTTAACGTATAAATGTTTTGTCTACGCCTAAATTGATATGAGTTAAATAGCTTCCGGTCAACATAAATTATGGCCCAAGTACATCCCATCCATTAAAGACAGCTCAAATAGATCTTGACAGTCTATAAAGCTCATTCCATCTCCTTATTGCTCTTGGTATTTATTACTTGTTGCTCAATCCTGGGGCAAGTATAAGACAAAGGAAGAGTGGAACGGAAAAAGATGGGGCAGAAAAAGTTAAATTGACATGGCAAATTATTCCATGGAGGACAAATGAATAGGAGGCATCTTGTACGTAATTTTTCTAATCCTATATTGTTAAGAACTAAAGAAAGCAAATAATTCTGCTCTAACTTCCTCCCCTTTCTTCTCTGATACGTCAATAGTGGATATTGATGTTGACGCAGCATGCTATCATATATTCTCCTTTATGCAGCTCAACATAGAAATACAAAAGAGGGAAGCGAAAGCAAGGACAACCATTTATTCTTCATCTGATAATCACTCAGATTTAGAATCAATGGATCAGATACGAAGCAGTCTGCGAAGCTAGTCATCAAACATACAGAAAGCACAGTAACACAGTGGCGCTGTAAAAGAGGTACCTCCAGAAACAAAGAGAGGCTGAGATTTATGGAAATGAACACCTCGAACAGGCCCGTCATGCTCATCGAATCTGTCAATCAGGGTCCCCATTCGGTAGTCCCATAGCTGGATCACGCCACTGTGAAGACTCGCAAGGATCCACGGTCTCTTGCTGTGGAAACTAAGTCCCTTCACTCTATTACTTTTGGTCTCGAACTTCGTCAACATCTTCCTCAATCACCGTACCACAAGCACAGTCTCTGCACAATCCAACTGCATTAGAATTCCCATTCCATCATAATCAAAACCAGATCAAGCAGAATTCCAAACGCAAACGGAATTCACACGTAAGATCATCAATAAGGTTTATGTTGAATTACAAAAAGAACTCTGTGAAGTCAAATGAAATCTCGGGATATAAAATTTCCAATATAAGAATCAAAATTGTCCAGCATTTTCCCACATGTAACAACTAATGAGACAGGGGAGGGGTGGGGAAAAAAAAACCCACCGCATGGAATCACCCAATTGATGTCAATCCCAATGTAAATATGACAACTAAGAATCTTTACCTCAGATCTAATTACTGTAAAGAAATCACGTTCAACAAACAACTTAACGCATCTATAATCAAGTTCATCAACAGACCCGCATTAACATGCATATATAAAAATAGAAGTTGCATAGATTAGCAAAATAGGAGAATTGGATCGAAAGCGGAGAGAGGAGATGGATTTTTAGACCTCTCTTGATATGAGATCTGGGTCCGGCTTGTGTAGTGTCTGTTAGTTTTGGCGGAGAATGGGAAGGAAGGTGGGGGAGAGAGATTGGAATATTGTAACTTCAGAACAGCACACATGGAAATTTCGAAACGCTTTTTTATTTGCAAAGTTCCATTTCAACCTGTCTTGTTCTCACTATTGTTTTTTTGTTTTTTTGTTTTTTAACTTTTCATTTTACTGTGACTTGGGGAACGATGAGGGATGAATAGACATTTAACGCCATGATTTTTCGGGTTGTTTTGTTTAGCTTACTTTTTAAGTATGGTATGTATGATGAAGAAATTGGTACAAGATTAAAATAAAAATATTCAGTGGAAAGAAATTGGTGCAGGCAAAGTACCGAACCCGAAGAAACCAAGAAAACCTGAAGAATACAAAAGCAGGCAAAACTTTTTTGTTTAAAAAAAATAAATTAGGGACACTTTGCAGTTTGCATAAATATTAAAAGAGGGAAATAATAAATTTTATAAACAACAGGGTGTATTTATCTAATAACAAATTTTTTAACATTTTCCTACTAGTTTAAATTCTATTAAAAGATGTACTTATATTTAGTATTCAATATGTTTTGAATGATCATTTTTAATAAAAATATATATGTATTGCGCATGCTTGATAAAAAAAATACATTTCCCATGATTTAAAAAAAAAACACATTTTATTTATTAGAAAACACGCACGCTTATGACCAAGCAATCTAAACACAGTAAAATTTCAAAAAACAATTTGCCTTTTCTCGATCAAAAGCATTATCTGCTTTATAAGAGAGACAGGTAAAAATATGCTTTTTCATCGATTCTTTTATAGCACTCCTCCTGTATTTACAAGGAAGGGAAGAGAGAGGAGAACTATGTATAAATTGTGTTATTAAATTTTATATCATAATTTTTTTGACCTACTTGAAATGTATCGGGAAAAAAAGTCTGTTCTTGAAATATATTCAGCAAGTATTAAAGTTAAAAATTTATTAAACTTGAATTAACAAGTTTCAAAAATTTTCTCAAATCCTATAAAAATATGTTATAACTTAGAAAATATTTATAAATAAGAATATTCACTTTGTTTTCAAGATAAAAAAATATTCTATTTATTTTAAGGATTAAAGGATAAAAATACTCTGAAATTTTTTCTTTCGAAATGTCTAGCACCTTAATTTTTTTTTGAAGCGCTTTCACCTTTAAGATTTTAAAAACAAAGCATTTTTATCCCATTTGATATTAAGAAAGTTGATTTTAAGTTGTAATTTTAATCTCAAAAATTGCCACCTGGCATTTTATTTTTGATTTTCATTAACAAGTAAGCATTAGCAATTGATCCACGTGTCTTAGCTTGTCTTAGATGTAAAAACAGAGAAGAATTTGAGGGGTCGGACTCTTGATTTGGGATTGAGCCATATGGTTAGAGTTAGGGTTCGAGAAGTGAGGATGTGGAAAGCTCTAAGTGTTCAACTTGACCCATCAGGTGCGACATTAGGTTCGAAGACAAGACGCAAAGCCTTTAAGGGTGCGAGTCATGGTTTGAAGAGGGTCTAAGTTCGAGGCTTCAAAAAGTGTGCGAGTCATGGTTTGGAGAGAAATTAAGTCATGGTGAGCATATGAGCAATTGAATATTTAGGGTTTCGTCAAGAGTACATCATAGTAAATCGCCGGCTTTTATAGGTAAGGAATAATCTCACCGTCTCAAGGATTTTATTAGCACAGTGATTGTCCCTTAAAGCCCCTATCTTTTTCCATTTTAGCATTACCTATTGAGATGGCTGATAAAAGGGAAGGGGGTATCGAATAGAACATAAATAGATACTTTGAGGCAATTGATAGTATTACCCAAGTATGGTTTGAGGTGAGAGATCAACTTCGAGAAGGGTATGACTCAGTAGTTGATGACATTTTAGTTGATGCCAATAGAAAGAGTAAGGGAAATGAAGGTGAAGGCAGTAGAGGTAATCAAAAGATTGTTGAAACTGGTGAGTGTTCTCAAGGTAAACAGAAAGTGGGAGACGTTGAAAATGTCTTTGTTGACTGTGATGAGGGACGAATTTCTTATGACTATGAGGATTGTGCTAATGAGGATGAGGAGACAAATGTCGTTGACAATGTTGAAGGGAGGGTCGAGGTGACTAATTTGTTTAATAATAATAGATGAATCAAGAAATGAGGATGAGGATTTCATTTGGGGAAAAGAAAATGAGGACTCGTATGTTGAATATTCAAACAATGGTTATGAGAAAGATAAGCTGGATAGTGAAATAGGCCTAGATGATGATTATAGGCCTACGGAAGAAGAACGAAGGCCTGTAGATGAGTTTGGATATGATTCTAGGCCCATTTTCATGGTGGGTCAAACATTTGTAGACAAGGATAAGGCATATAGGGCTGTTAATAGGTATGCAATTAGGGAGGGGGTGCATTTGAAGATGAAGAAAAGTGAGCACTTTAGATTAAAGGTATGTGTCAAAAGATGGATTAAACCCCGGAATGATGGTAAAGACACTATGTTTGAAGCATATGTATAATAGGGTTTATAAGAACCTAACGGCATCAACAAAAGTGGTTAGCTTCATACTTCAAGAACAAGGTGCAAGAGAGGACTTGATACAAGATCTCAAATATGAAGAAGGATATGGAGGATGAATTGAAACTACATGTCAGCTTACACAAATGCAAGCGTGCTACAAGGATAGTCATAGAGGAAATGAAGGGAAAATATAGGGATGAGTTAGAAGCTTATTGTATGAGGTTAAATCTTCTAACCTAGGTTCAGATCTTAGTGTTAAAGTCAGCAAAGAGTATTTGTAGAATGTCAAAAGGGATTTTAATAAACTATACTTGTGCTTTGATGCTTTAAAGGTAAGATTACTTCACACGCACATTGGTTATGTATTTTGTATGATTTTTTCATTAATTAAGACTTAGATTTGACTATTATTTCATTTTTATTGTTCAAGGTTGGTTGTTGACCAATTATTTGTCTTGATAGGACTTTCCTCAAAGGCCATGCTCGAGGTATTCTGCTCACTAGCACTAGAATAGATGATGATGATGGTTTGTTCCCTATTGTATTCATTCTAACTCAAAAACAAAATACTGTGAACTGGATCTAGTTCATACAATGGTTCTAAAAGTCATTAGACCTTGGGGATGGGCTTAAGGTTATTATAATGTCAGACATCTTAAAGGTATTTTTTTTGTATTGTTTTGGGCTTTATTTTTTCCTTGCATTTTATTTTCTATATTAATTAATGAACTGGAACACTATTTTACAATTCTACATCTTAGTTTTTAAGAATAAGAATGCCCTATTTTGTGGAAAAAATTTGATTACCTGCTATACTCTATTTGAAGTTCCCTTCCTGTTTTACGAAGAGGAAGCTTTTGGAGTAAATTTCTCTATTAATTACACAAGTGTTTAATTACACTTTCTCCCCAAAAGTCGTTGTTCTTTTAGAACCAAGATGATGATATTATAGTTTTCACTCGTGTGACCTACCTACTTTCATTAGCATTCATTCATTTTTACAGAACTGTCCTTAGTGCAGTTGCTCTTTTTGGGTGGGAAGAAACTTATCATTTTAGATGCATCTCATTTTAAGTAATAAATAATTAACTTGAATTAATGAAAAATTAGGATATAGAATTTCATATATAGTTTCAATAGCCTGTGGTGCTAATTCCATATTATTGCTGAATTACCTAGTTGAAAATTGCATAGCAGCCAGTGATACATCCTGTTTATGTTTTTCTAACTGCTTGTATGACAAAATTGCATATATCTACTTGAAAATTTTGACTACATAAAATTACTATAACCTTTTATATTATTTAATAGCCCTTCTAACCACCTCTTTATTTTCCGTAACCATATTATTCTAGTCCATCAATTTATAGATAAATAGGCTTGATAATCACCCATCACAAAATCTAAACGCTCACATTCTCTTTGTCTTGTTAAATTAATCATTATTTGTATTGCATATTCTGTCCTGTATTGATCTAATTTTAGTGTTGATTTATTCAAGGCTTGATAGATACTGTTTAGAGTATACCTCCAAAGGTCGAGTATAGACTATGTGCTAGGCATATCTATGCCAATTGGATCAAGAGATGGAAAGGCAATAACTTGAAGAAGAAGTTTTTCACTTGTGTATGGAATACGTTTGAGGAGAAATTTAAGGACAATTTGAAAGCATTGGGCAGCTTAAGTGAGCAAGTAGTTGAGGTAGCATTTCCTTATTCTCCAAACAGTTAGGTAAGAGCATGCTTTAGTACTAGATGTTTATCGTGAAATGTTGACAACAATGTTAGTGAAAGCCTCAATGCATGGATAAATGACATTAGGCATTTGTTTGTCCTTAGAATGTTAGATGGAATTAGGATTAAAATAGTAGGGAAATAGGCTGAGGCTGCAAATAGAAAAGTAAAATGGAAATTTTAGCCCTGAATGTGTGGGAATGTTTGAAACAAACAATCATCTAGCAGCAACTTGTAGGGTCTCTTTTAATGGTGATAAAGGTTATGAGGTCACCGAGGGTTCTGATAGATATACAGTGTTTCTAAACACTAAGAAGTGCACTTGTAGAATTTGGGATCTCACAAGAATACCTTGTTAACATGTCATTTGTGCACTTTGAGATGCAAAGCTAGATCCAAGCACTTAAATCTCTCATTACTATAACAAAAGCACATGTGTTGCTAATTAGAGGAGTAAGCTACAACCTGTAACAGGAAAGCAATTTTGAAAGGCAGATCAATTTGATCTTATGGAACCACCATCATTGGTTAAAATGCCTGGCCGACCTAAGATAAAAAAGATTGAGGATTGGAGAACAAATAAGAAGGGTCATTAGTGCTAGCCAGCAGACAGAGGCATCATATTCCCTTGCCATCCCTAAGAAATTAAGTAAGAAAGGCAAGCGTATAACATGCACCATTTGTAAAGGAGTTGGCTATAATAGAGCAACATATACAAAAGTATGTGTCATAGCATTTATTGTCTTAATTTATTTTACTGGTTATGATTGATTCATTTAATTGGTTATGCAGAAACATATATGAGTTCACAAGGTAGAGGAAGTGTTACCTCCTTGTCATCTCAAGCAGGCAATGAAACAGCCCAAAAATTTGCACCACGTTGAGAGGGCATTTTATAAGACTAGAAATGACAGTGGTATGGGAATAAGAGTAGATTGGACACTGGGAGGACTGTTTACAATGTATGTTTATGTGTTAAGTTAGTTTTGGTCATTGGAGTAGATTTGCTGCTCATCATGTGTTAACTTTGATTGATTTATGTTTCCTTGCAACTTGGGATGCGTTCAGAGGTAGTTATTAAAGAGGGCACATGGCAGGAGTATCTGCAAAATTATGCTGATCCTGAGACACACTTTCCCATCCCTCATAAGAGAGAAATGAGAAGACACACAGTGCAAGGTAGTACAATTGAGAAAAGCTCTAGAAAGATTAGATTCAGCAATGACAAGAGTCCTTCACAGTTTCCTTTTAATCCACCAAAGCTAACGTGGAGAAGACATCCCAGTGTTACAACCTCCCATCTTATGGCTCAGAGAGGGGAAAAAAAAAGAATTGGACAATTGAGATTTAGGTCTACCTGTGGCAGCATTTGATATGGCAACTTAGAATCCCAGTAGTAGTATCTAATTAGGATCTTTTGCTTTATTAACATTTGTAGTATGACTTTTGTTAACTTTATGCAAGACTGTCATAATTTATAATTTTGGATTATAAAATTGTTGCCATTTTAGGGCTATGTGAATAGCTCTAGTATGAACTTTAGGCTATAATTTTGGATTGTCAAAACTAACTTACCTTTTAGATGGTGGCTATGTGGTGCCAACTTGGAATGTTAATGGAATGTCTCGTCAGTATGTTACCTAACATCCTTTAACCTTAATATGTAGAAGTAGAAATTATAATTAATGATAGAAAGACTAGTTCCTTTAAACATGTCAGTTTTGGTGTGAGAACCTCGATATTATATTGTTTCTCCCTACATCCAGTTGCACCAGTTGCTAAATTTATAGATTAGTCTTATAGGTTATGACTTGTTCCTCCTTAGGTTCATCTACATGTAAGATTGTATTTATTGCTCTTTTTGTTGGAATTGAAGACAGTTACATGATGCTCCTAGCACAAAGATAGCATGCATTGCTAATAGCCATCGATTTCTAAGATTGCTTGTTATTTTCATTTTTTCTGACTGGAGTTTAGTATTGTCTTTCCTAGGCATGCTCATTACTAGACAAGAATTACACCATTAGCTTTGGTTTATAGTGGTGAAAAATGTAGTCAATATGTTATTGACACAAATAATGAAGGACAAGTTCCAAGCCAACAGCAAGTGTTGTCAAAAGTTTCCTTTTATTACTACTTATTCTTTCAATGAATATTCTTTTATGGATCCTTAGCTCTTGTGTGATTGAGCTGTGTATGTGTATGAATAGTTATGATTGTGCCTTCTGAAGTGAGTATATGTCAATGTTTTTAATCGGTTATTTGGTTTTGTTTTCTTCATTTTTATTGCAACCATATATTCTCTTTCAAAGTTGAATTTGAAAGCCAAAGCACACAATTACTGCTGCAACATCATCAATGCAAAAGACACACTATATTTGTTTTGTTGAGATGAACCCTTTGTGTTCTTGGCATAAACAGTTTGAGAAAGTAGAATAGAAATCTTATGTGCATGTGAGAAAACATTATTCTGATCCAACAAGCCATGAGTTGGGAACTTGATTGTGATGAGTTAAATTAATTTGAAACTAACCGAAACTCCAAAGTCAATGTGCACGTGGCTCTAAAATACTCATTTGTTTTCTCATAGGACCTCGTGAAGGTGAAAAGTATGCATATGATATATTGAAACTTGCTTAATCACTTGTGTTTAGTTTATAAACTAGGTGGATTTGGAGCTACAAGAAGATGGGAAACTAACTACAAGATAAGTTAGTTTTGATATTTGCTTAATTGGTTGTGCTTGGTTTTCTAAGCCTTTGAATTTGGCACAGTACTCATGACAGAAAGAAAAAGCCGAGGCGTCATCTTCAACTCATAACATAGCATCAATGTCAGCATCATTGTGACTACCTCTGACATGCCTTCCATGTCCATTATGCTCACCAGGCATACGTTCCATATATTGAAGCAATTCATTAATTACTTTTTTCGCCCTCTCCCCCATTTCACCATTGTGCCAAGCAAAAAAACCACACCCTCCCTATTAAAATAGACAGCAAACCTATTTAAAGAAGATGAAGAACACATTGAAAAAGATCAAGAAGATGAAAAAAAATATAAAAATACTCAAGCCTGTCAATAGTTGGGGCACTCATAAAATCTTTTTCCTAGATTTTCCTCACTCCAAGAAGTCCATCGTGGAGCCACCATACCATAATGACAATACCTTGTCGAACTATTGTAGGTCACCTCTCCTTGGTGTCGCCTCAGTGTAGCTAGCCTTCATTGAGTTCCAATGCTTGTAGAGGACGTTGATTTGGCCATGGCTTCACGCAACTTCCTTGTTCTCCTATGTGACTTTGCTTTTTCCTATTCGATATGGGTTGAAACTATTCGATAAGGTTAGCGAGGAAATTTAATGGATAGTTAATGAATTTCACCAAAATCAGTTAATGAATTTTCATATGGACAACACACATGGTAGTTCACATATGAGAAAAAAATTCTAAGTGGTAATTTTAGAGATCAAAATTACAATTTAACAATTAATATTTCCAATATTAAATAGTGGGATAAAAATGTTTTGTTTTTGAAACCTTTAGAGCAAAAACACTATAAAAAAAGATTTACGGTGTCAGGCATATTTAGAAAAAAAGTTTCATAACATTTTTACCCTTTAACTCTCATTTTAAAATATAGATCTTTTTATAAGAAAAGTTTTATTTTATTTTACATGTTTTTTTAAAAATTCAACATCACATCATACCTATATTTATAACGTCAATGCATTATTTATAAATACTCTAGTTCCTTTCTTTTCTTTTAGTTAGTTATAAAATGAATTAAGGGAAAATTGCTGCATGTTACCCTAGAAAGAGAGAGAGATTTGCCATTAAAAACCCACGTTTGTTGTTAAACAATAGAATTTACTACATTTATTTTTTAAAAAATTAGAAAAATACACACACAGCATGGCTAGGTTAATTTTATGTGCAAAGACTTGAACCAAAAGGGGGAAGAAAAAAAAAATTAAACCAATTGAACCAATAATCTGACCAGTTTTCTTAATTAAACAGTTCCGTAAAGTGTGACTGATTCTGGCAAAGATTCACCGGTTTTTAATCGATTTTGATTGGAAAAAACTACAATTGCTGACAACAGTCCATAGCCAATTCATTTCTAGCTTATTTGCCAACTCCAACATATAAACTCCTAATAATTGTTCAGTCCCATTGGAAACTCATTTCCGACTTATCAAGCAGACAACCTACCTCCGAACCTACAACGATTTTCCCGCCCTACCACATTTCTGGGCCCTCCTTCTTTGTCAACACCCACCAGCAAATTGTAATGCTAATTTCAGCAAAACATTCGCCATCACCAAATTTATTGAACAATATGCAAAGCATATATCAAAGTGGAAATTATACAAAAGTTATCACTGCTGACATAGCGTCGCTCACATACAGCTCTGATAAACTGCCATCAATAATAACACTGAGCTTCCGGTAACTTCTCAAACCAAGGTATTTCTTTCACAGCCAATCAATTGAAACATTGATTTGTTAGAGAAAAATAAGAAACATTGCCCAATGGCATCTGCTTGTATTCACAAGTTTGCCTCCCTATATGAAACATAATTTAAAAAAAAAAGGGAGAGAGCATTCTCGTCTTTGAACAACAAACAAAAATTACCAAAGGTTGAATTACCAAAATGTGCTTATTGCCTTATTATATTAAAAACCATTATCAGCTAAATAAAAGCAAGAAGATAGACATAAAAAGGGGATGAACAAGACACGGGGAACTTGTTTGCCATTGCTATCAGTTACCTTCATATGCTAAGAGTCGGATCAAACAATCTCATCCCTTCTAAATAGCGACCTGAAACTATGGTTGACGTATGGTCCTTGTCCACTACTTTAATCACCGTATCTGCGAAGAAGAACATAGTAAACCAGAAGCATCTGCACCTACAACTGCAAGGTCACAAACAGTACAAAGCTGCCCCTCCTGACTAGGCACAAACCGAGAACTACAATATGGGCAGGAAACATCCTTCTGGCCTCGATAAATTGGCACATGGGTTGCACCACAAATCACAAATGGGTTCCGGAAATCATAGTTCAATTCAGTGGCATCTGTCATATTCTTTTCTGCAGCCGTTAGCACTTGTCTCGCCATCTTAGCTTGGTTTTCAATGGTGGGATTAGTCTCAAGTAGCCTTCTGGCAAAATTAGCAGCAGTGGCAAGGTTCCTTGCCTTATAGCAGACAGTCATTGCATTTAGCAAGGCTAGCCTCAGGTGAGGCATTTGAAGGTTGCAGTGAGTGAAATATGCTGCAAGCTCTTGCTGGCGTATTGGATTATCCTTCATCTCCCTTCTCTTCAGCTCCATTTGCAGACCCAAGACATACTCTTTAACAATGATAACTAACTCCTTCACTTCATCAACTTCCCTTCTTGACTCAACAACAATAACGGGAATTGTATGAAGAATGCTAGTGAAAAGCCGAAGAGCCTCCGTGAATTTCCCAGATGTTGTTGCCCTATAACCAGCTTTAAGCTTCTCTTCTAATTGAGAAAAACTGAACACAAGTGCTGGTGGACCCCTCACATTTGGGCTAGCAGACTCACTCCATCCTCTTTCTACTGCCAGTGAAACCACTGGAACTGCTGGAAATGCACGCAGATATGAATGGCTACCAGTATGAAGATCAAGGAACAGAGATTTAAAGGGAGCAAAATTTTTAATGCCAAGTTGCCTATTAAGCAACCGCATTGCAGTGTCGAAGTTGCCAGCAGCAGCCTGCTCAGCTGCAAGAGATGATTTCTGGATCCATATCTGGTTCACTGGCATGCCAAATGTTGGAGTAACAAACACCGTGGAATGGCTATTTACAGAAGTTTTAGGGGTATCTAATTCAGGAGGAAGTTCAAGATCTTCAAGATCCCATCCTCCTCCTTCTTTTTCTTCAGCTGCATCTCCATCCTCCTCCAGAATGCTCGTAACCTCCCCATTTTGTAAGCCATCTTCACCATCCACGTCTAGCCTCTCACCCCAATCACCATCAGCAGCTTCATCCTCTTCGCCAATCCCATCCTGACCAATATTGTTGAGTGCACCTTCAAATATGCCTCGCATAACCCGAAGAAGAGGCCAATCACCAGCAGACAAAACAGGGGGTGGGGGCATCAGGAGTGTTGGTACTTTTCCCTCCGGCAAAGAAGGAATATTGTCCCCCAGTTCAGCTGCAAGCCGTTCAGCAACATCATTCAGCCCATGAACTGATGCAGTGATGTAAGCAAGAGGCAGATGGCCTGCATTTTCCAAGATCTTAATGCGTTCACTAACATCACCCAAATATAAGGCATTGTGAAACTGACCCATCACATCATTCTTGACTTCAGCAATCTTCAACATTTTGGAAAGTTTTTCCATGTTTCCAGTTATAAGATAAAGGAATGACAATCTCTCCAAATTTTTGGTCCTCTGGTATGCATACTCCACTATACCAGCATTACCCTGGCGAAGAGCCTCAACTCCTAGTCGATACCAGTTATCTTTCTCATCAATTGCTGTAGCTGATGCAACTGCTATTTGAATGTTCCCACTCTCTAGAGCCAAATTGAACCGAGTTCTCTCATCCTTAACAAAATGAAGTGCAACCTCAGGGAAACCCTTCTGTTGTAGGTAAGCAATCATAGCCAAACCACAGAGTTGTGAGTTTCTTATCATGTTCATAACAAAATCATACTTTTTCCTCAGCAGAGAAAGTTTGAATAAATACTCGGCAGCATCAATAACTATGGCTCTGCTTTTCCCATCTCGATCCAAGCAGAAGATTGTATTTCCAGAAATCTTAGCAATGTAAATTGGGAAATCAAGTGTTTTTATTATGCCACTATCTCCATTTGGAAGACAGTATTTTATGTGATTTAAAGTCGTGTAAATAAAGACACCATTTTCATCCCAGCCTCCACTTTTTACACGGATTGTCTCATGCAAAGTACATTGATGCACAAGCTTCTTGCTAGCAATGACAATGGCATGTTTGCTCAGCAAGGCAATGCGTTCCATATCATTAGACCAAACAACATACTTGACAGAGGGAGTCTGAAGATCACCAAGAACAATCCTCTGCTGAAGATCAAATATAACCACCCTATCCTCTGCCCTGCATAATAAGTTACCTGTTCCTGCATAGAAGAGAGCATCTGTGGCAATTGGCAGTGCACTCTTCTTAACAATCTCATTTTTCAAATTCTTCAATAAAACTTGGTTGCTACTTTTGTCAAGCACAGCAAACCTGTTCCTAGCTACAAAAAGAGCTGATCCTCCTGCTCCTTTCTTTGCATCTTGCATATCACCCCTACCAATGGCATCCTTGGATATGATATATAACTCATAAGATCCCCCATCTACATCTGAACAAAGGAGGACAGCATTTTCAGTTGGACTGTAGGAAAGAGTTTTTGGACTTTGATTGAGACCAGGTCGTCGAATTGAAACCACTTGTGTATCATGTTGTGTTGAAAACTCATAGAGTCTCAAAAACCGGTCCTTAGCATAAAGTAAAGAGTCTCCACTAACTGCAAAGGCTGGTCGTTCTCTCTCCAGTTTAAAGACAATCATGCCACTATCATGACCAGCTGCCAACAGATTCATTTCAGGGTGTGCAGCAAGAATCCAAAAACGGTCATGCTCCCGTCGAAAAGTTTGAATTCCAGTCCTCTTTGTTGCATCCCATACTCGAATACTTTTATCCTCGGAATTAGAGACAATTATGTCTTGTTTTAAATGGAACATAACACATGATACATTATTCATGTGCCCCCTTAAAGTATCCACTTCCCAAGCCTTTGTCTCTGAACAAAATAAGAAGCTGTTCTGTTACTCTTGTTTTAAGATAATGGCATGCTTTACAATAACAACAACAACAATAATAATGGCAGGCAAAACAGATAAACAAAGGAGTTAATATATTATTGCTAAAAACAGGAAACAGAATTTGAATGTGCTTACTTCACCCAAAAATCTCAGCAACAATATCCTTATAACACTCTTTTTTACAGGACTTAAAACCCTCATATTCATCATAAATTGAGTAAATGGCCACAGGAGTAGAAAAAAGGAAACTATTAACAAGGATCCAAGAAAAGATCCAATAGCAAAGCTGAGATAGAAGATACACAGCAGTTACATAGATTTTTCTTGTTTTTGAGGCTTACCATTCATTCTCCAAATTTTAACCTGCCTATCATCTGCTCCTGAGACAATGAGAGGGAGCGTGGGATGGAACGCAGCCCAATTGACTCCTCTATCATGACCTTCCAAAACATACTTGACAACAGCATCAATACCACCAAAAAGATCTGGACTAAATCTCAACAAGTCATCTGAAGGAAAAGGAGTCTGCTTTTTTTTAAGAGAACTAATATCCCAAACCCGAACAGTCTGATCCAATGAGGCAGAAACAACGAGATCCTCTTTAGGGTGGAAAGATGCACACATTACATAATGATTGTGGCCAGTCAAGACAGATATACAGTTACGTGATTGCCAATTCCAAATACGAATAGTCTGGTCATCACTGGCACTCACAATCCATGGGAACTCATGATGAAACTGCACAGTGCGGATATAATCCAGGTGCCCCAAAAGAGTAAACAGACACCTATGCATCTTGTAGTTCCAAACCTTTATCTTGTAGTCATCCCCTGACAAAAGAGAACAAAAAGAACTTCCCATAATCATTAAATTATGATTGATGAGAAGAGATTAACTCTTATCAATAAAAAACATTTCATTCTACAGCATTACCAGCAGAGAAACTTCCATCTCCTAGCTTTCTTTAAGTAATCATTGGGTCGACATTAATAGTGAAACAAAACTAAAACCATTTACAATGTAAACATCACGAGGCACATCAATCAAAAATATTTATTCTGAAGTGATCCAACCAAACAAGGAAAACTGAAATAACAAGTAAAATATATTATGCTCTGATATATACATACAAAGATATAGGAAGTTGATAACGATCTCAACTTTGTCATCAGACAACGACACACTAGGTCTAGTATTGTCATCTCGACCTGAACCTCGATCTCATGGTAGTTGGAGGTGTATGTTAACGTTCAAATATTACATATTAGATATTTTTTTTTTAAAAAAAAAAGGGCCGTAATCACAATAACTAAGCTAGATCTACACGTCTTCGACTAATCTAACTAATATGAGCTCCAATTTTTCCTCCAATATCAATAAGATTAGCGCTACTACCAAAGCAGCATATTTACAAGTTTAAATGATCGGACTCGCAATAACAAGTTCAAAGAAAAGGGAAATGAAAAGTAAATCAGATACCTCCAGAGACAAACAGCGGCTGAGATTTGTGAAAGTGGACACCTCGTACAGGTCCATCGTGCTCGTCAAATCTGTCAATGAGAGTGCCCATGCGATAGTCCCATAACTGGATCACACCACTGTGAAGACTTGCCAGGATCCACGGTCTTTTACCGTGGAAACTCAGTCCCTTTACTCTATTACTCTTGGTTTCGAACTTCGTCAACATCTTCAAGGATCACCTCGTCCCAAGATCAGTTTCCGCGGTACCCAAGTCAATCAGACACCCTGAAGAATCCAGCAAATCACACGAGCCCCACTCAGCTAAATCAAACCAAATCGAACTCAACAAGAAACGCTAACCACTGATTCGACGTTGAACAGCAAAGCCGTCAGACAGAGAGCTCTACATTAAACTTCCAAAGCTACGCGATGATTCAAAGACAAAAGCAGAATATAAATCTATTAGCTTGAGAAAGCCCCAACAGGAGACGAAGCTCAAACAGAGGATTATGGAAAGTTGGAGGATTTGCTGGCACCTCCTAGATCTGAGTGTTTTCATAGATTGTGTCCTAATTTTAGAGGGAGAAAGCAAGAAGATGAAGGAGAGGAATTATTGAAGGCAATTTCCGAGGGTGTTGGATTAAAATGCCTTGAAGTTTGTCAGAATTGCACTGATTAAGGCCGTTGGATTCCATCTCAGGGGTCATGATCTACTCCATCGATCTGAACAATTAAATAAAATGTCGGGTAATTTTTTTCATGGGACAAAGAATTCATTCAATTATCAATTAATAGAAAGAATTTGGACAATTTTTCATGACAATGCGCAAATTTTTATTTTTAAATCATATTGCGCTTCTGAACTTTTTTGTCGATTTTTATTTTTTTAGCAAATTGTCGATTTTTAATTAATCTGATGAAATTTCAAGGAAAAATGAATAAACAACGATTGAGCTATATTGGTACTGTAATTCCTGGCCTAAACGATTAAAGAATCAGTCGTATTGATCTTAAGATGCTTAGAATCATGTTGGCTAAAGCCGAAGTTTGGTTTTGATAGAAAATATCTTCAAAATACTTTTATAAAATTGTGATTTTAAGTTTTAATTTTTTTGATAAATAAGAAACAATCAAAACAAACAGCAAATAAAAACTAAAACTCCTCCATGAATGAAGGAATAGAGTCACCAGCTATTACGTGAAAACCCACGAGGAGAGATAAGGCACGTTTCGCTAAGGAATCAGCTTCTGAGTTGAACTCTCTTCCAATGCATCTCATATCAACCTGCCAGTCTCTTTGAAGTATTTGTTGAATTTCAGCAATAAGCTCTCGATCTTCATAAAGGTCGTAATTATTGGCTCTTAACAGAGATAGTGCTTCATGACAATCACTATGGATTCTTACATGCTTGGTTTTGATATCCCAAGCACGCTTTAGACCCATATAACAAGCCCATAATTCTACCGTCAGATTATCCCCCTTCTCTAAACGAAGCATGAAAACTTCAATGATATTCCTTTTGATATCCTTAACTAGACCTCCACAACCCTTAGAATTAGTAGCAACCGCAAAAGCCCCATCAACATAAACAAAGAGCTCATCAGTAGCTAAGATAGTCATATCCACCTGATTATTAGGACGAATGCCAGCAATAGATGTATTTTGTAAATGACAGTTAGCCACGTTCATGCAGTTAAGGATAACAGTAGCTTGTGCGATGACACTCACTGTAACATCCTGATTTTTATATAATAAAGAAATTGTGGAATTTAGGTTTTGAGGGAAAAAAAATGATAATAATAGAAATTTATATTATTTGAGGTTATTTAGAAATGATATTATGGTTAGGTATTTAATTATAAATTTAAAAATTTAAATTTAAAATTACATAAGCAATATTTAGTTAAGATATAATACATAAATAATTTTTTTTATGTGTGTGTTAAAAAAAAGAGAAGGTAGAAAGAACAAAAAAAAAGGGGGTGAAAGGTTGTTGTTTTTAAGTCCCACATTGGTTAGATAAGGGAAGAGAAGAGGTGCCTTCATGTATAAAAAGGAGGGGGTGTGTGCATTAGGAAGCATGAGAAGCTAAGATGCAATTTAGAGGAAATTGCAACTTTTGACCCAAAGGTTTGAATAATTAAATTCAAACCTATAATTTTTTTTAATATAATTTTGGGACTCACAATCCCATTTTTATATTATTTTTCTCTCTTCCTCTCACGTTGCTCGGCGTTTTCTCATAAGGGGGGATTATTTTCTTTTTCTTCAGGTATGTTCTAACTTTCCTGTTTAGATTAGCATTTAAAAAATTTATTTAATTACAAAATTAATTTTATAGTTATTTTCTAAATAATATTAGCTTTTTAGTGATATGATTATTTTGTAGGATAGAGTAAATATTCTGATTAGGATTTTTTTATAGGATAGTTAATCTGATGATATGATGGATTAAAAATATAGGTTAAAACTCTTAGGGATATAATAAATATTATAGAATATTTTCTTGAGGTTAAAACTCATGTTTAAGAATTTTTGAGTTAAAATCTAGATCTATATGGTTGAATTTATGTGGAATCTGAGGTGTAGAGATAAACCTCTGATTATTAAATATTTATTTAAGTATGAATAGGTATTTTTGAGGTTATAGAAAGGTGATTTGAGGTTTCAGGATAATTTTAAAATTTTTAATTTATTTTTGGACGAATTTTTAGAACATAGAAGGATGAAATTGTGATATTAGAAGTGATTTGAGGATAAAAAAAATAGTTTATTAGGGTACGAGAATTTTAGAAAAAGAATTTGAGAAGTTAAATGAGGCATAAATCTTAAATTAGAATTAATATGGATTATAGATCTAAGACTTTTTAATTCTTTAAATTAGAGTTATTTATTTTAATGTAAAATTAATATATAGTATTGTGAAATAATTATGTAGATTATATTGACAAAGATAGTGATGAAAAAGGAGTTGTGAAGGGGAACTTGTTATTCAAGACACAAGGTAACCATTATTAATGTGTTGTGATGAGTGTGTTTGTGAATGGTTATGTGTTGACTTGTTGTTTGGAAAAACTATGAATTATTGAAAATAAATACTGTTATATACTTGTTTGAAATTATTGCCAAGTGGGTTAAAAAATTTATTTTTGTTTATCATGATGAGATATTATTGTTCGGATATATTCTTATTTGGATATTTGAATTATGCATGACTTGTCAGGGTATTTGATGTATGGTGTTAATGGGAATTTCTGTTCGGTTAATTATTACCACGTGGTAAGCCCTCATTGGACCCAATGAGTGGCGTGTCGCTTGGTCCAACTCACCTTTGGCCGGGTGATTTGGCGTCCGAGCATGGCGAAAGAAGGATATAAGGTGCAGTCATGCAAATTAAATACTTGTTCGGTTTGTTTGAAAATATTGTTCGGTTAAATGTTTTGTGTGCCCACTTAGCAATCGCATGATTAGTTACAATCGCATGCATCATTACATATTAATTTTTGGTTACTGGGACTTTTAAGTCTCATTCCCCGTGGTTAATATTTTTACAGGAGCGAGTCCGGTCGAGAAAGCACCAGAGGTGTAACTATGGTGTATGAAACACCATCTTTTACGTTGCCTCTCATTTTGTATTATGCAATGTATCTTGTGCCAACCTAGGACATTTCTTATTTTGACAACATGTAAACTCTAATCCTTTTTATTAAATACAATTATATGACCAAGAGGATTATGTTTGTCCCTATTGATTCATGACCTGATTTAAATATCATGCCATGAGGATCATGTCTGTCCCTCATGGTTCTAATTGTTTTTTTGAGATATTTTAAGACCTGTGGTATATTGTTTTGGATTCTACCATGATAAGAGTATGATAAGGGTTCAATGAAAAAAAAATAATTTGTTAAATTAATAATTTGTGAAAAATCGGTTTGTAAATTTTGAGGGTGTTACACTCACTGTAGTCAATCTTCATCCCTCAAAAACTCTCTCATTCCTACGTTTTCATATTGCCCAACACAAAATAGCAAACAAATCACACTACTTGAAATTATTAACTGTTACCTGAATCTTGAGATTCATCTTGCACCATTCACGTAAGTCTGTGGTAAAGAAAGCTTGTCTTTGAGAAGGGCCTAATAATTTTATCCACACTTTCTTAGCTTCAGGGCACCATTCACGTAATAATTTTAAGTTTTAATTTCACGCTAACGTAATTTCGAATATATTTTTAATCTTTTTTTTGGGGTCAATCAGGTAAAAAAAAAAAACTGGAGTAGAAGTGTAAAACAAGCTCGCTGCCACTTGTATTACATGTATTCCTTTACATTTAAAACAAAAAAATGTATTCCTTTACAGCTTTAAGGTGCTAATTTGAAGGAAATAATCATATATCGTTCCGGCCAAGGGTGAGTAAAATTGAATCAAAATTAAAAATTAAATTAAATTAAATTTTATCTATTTAATTTGGTCTATTCAGTTTTTTAATTCGATTTGATTTTTTTAATGAAAATTTTGGTTAATTACTTTGATTTGGTCTAAAAATTCAAGAATCAAATAAATCGAATTGAACGAATTATCTATATTTTTTCTTTCATATCTTTAAAAATGTGAATAAAATTTCATTTAAGTGAGTAAAAAACATCTTTCTACTACTTGCAGTAATAGTATTTTTTTTGGTTTAATATAATATTTTAATTTTTTATTTTTATAATTTAGTTTTTAGTGTAATAATACTGAATCTTATTAATTTTTTTATAAGTTATGATATAAGATTGTTATTTTTTTGTTGGGCCTTCAACATCAAGGGAAAAAAATTGGATAAAAGAATATATGAACAATTAAATTTTATAAGTTCAAATTAAAGCCCATAAATTGAATAGACCGATCGAACCGAATCATTAAAATTCAATTCGATTATGTATTTTAATTCAATTCGATCTAAATTTTTTATATAATTTAATCGATCAATTTTAAAAAAATTAAAATTGAACCATCTGAATCAATCGAATGCTCACCCCTACTTGCGGCAGTGGACCTCACTTTGCCAGAAAACAATCTATTACAACATGCATGCCACTCTCTTGCAATCGCAAGAAAAGACAGTTTACTATGTTCTCAAGTCTTTTTGAATGTAAAATGAATGTATCATTAACTCAAAAGTACAAGGCAACAACAGGCTATCAGCAAAGAAGTCTTTTTTTTTTTTTTTTTGGCCAGGTCAGCAAAGGAGTCAGGAAACTGGAAAAGCAAAGAACCAAAAACAAAAGAAGTTAATTCAAATTGTCATCAATCTCCACCATTGAACAAGGTGGTGATTTATCTTGAGTCTCCTTTTACAAGAATTTCTTGTGATTTGATTTCATTTGTTGGCAGAGAACAAATAGAATCATAGAATGCATATACAATTGTGGTCTTAAATATATATTAATTTGCCTGAGTTTTTGAAGTAATAAACGTTTTTTAAAATACGGTTTTTGTTGCAAACTTCAAGTAAATTTATAGGGAGAATATTTTTTATGTTTAAATAATTGTTAAAAGGCGAAGACAAAAGCTTCTTTAATCTCAAGGTTGTTTTAACAAGTTAATTATTTTTTCAGTTCCAGACAGCCAGTAAAGTAATTAGAAATAACCAACATTCTGGATAAAAAGGAAAAAGTTAATGATTTTTTTTTTCACCCATGGTTGAATAAAAGCTTGTTTATTTAAAATTTAAAAATAAGTTATTTCGATATTGTTAGTTAGCAGGACATGAACTCGTGTTCTCATAAAATGAGTCAATTCCTTAAACCAACTTTTGATACCTATATATTCTAAAACAGAGAAATAATAGATTGAGGATCATGTAGACAAACATTTCCCTCAACTTAGAATTGCATTCCACTCAAACAGATTAAGATCCAGATCCATGCGCCAAGTATACAAGAAGAATAATTTATCGCCAGATTCCAACAGGAGATATAGTTTAACCCCTAGCCTAGCCTATTGTATACATTACAAGCTAAAAGTGACCAGGTTTAAACTTCTCCACGCGCGCCAAGTGTTGATTCGCTTTATATCGTCCACAAAAGAGAGAATTACCTCTTGCATCAAGCAGAAACTTGCCATGATAAATGGCATCGAATTGATCTTCAGGTATGTAAAAAATGCTATTGCTGTTTCCCCCGAAAAGCTTGAACAATGTCCTCAGCTCTAGATTCGATGCCTTTCAGATATTCCGTCAGAATGCGCTGCTGGTAAGAACCTCCCTCCTTTGTTTTTCATGGACAAATCAAGGGAGTGGCATCAGCTTAAGAGGAAGAGAAAAATACAAAGAATAATTAAATCTCCAGCCATGAAGCAGGCTTTTGTCTCACCGTTCTAATCAAAGTGCGCTCAATTCGTTTCTTTAATACAGCATCGAGTTCCTCAGGTGAAACTTCCCCCGCGCCAATTGTCAACCCTTTGATCAAAATATTGTTCCATTCTTCTTCAGGGGCTGCAAGAAACCAATAATTGGTCAATGGGACAAATGTAACTGCATATGCAGATAAAAACGGGCTCGTTATCAATCTAGATACTCCGCTCATAGCGATGAAATTTGTGATCATCGAGAGGCTATAACTAGAAGCTTGCAGGAAACAGCAGATATACCAATTTGATGTCTTTAATAGATTAGTCTCCGATGAAGCCTTTGCACAAGTCTTTCATCTAACCAGAAATCAACTCTCAATCACAGGCACAGTCAGGAGACTCTCCAAACTGTGCCTGCCATTCTTTTCATAATATCATATTGATTTTACCTTGCAAATTTATCAACTTAAATGAAATTCAAATACATCAAAGGATATTCTTTATAAATGAACTCCAGCCTGGGAACCTTCACTTGAGCACATAAATAAGATCATTTCCTAAGACATGACATTCTGCGGTGATGAAGACACCTTGGATTATAGTTTCAAGGAACTGCTCGGCCTTCAAAACTTCCTCCCCTGCAACAAGAGCACACAGAGCTTCTAGATAACTAGATTAAATATTTATGCTAACTGCAAGGACATGCTGCGGTTAGATGGTCAATCACATGAATAGATTAGATTAAAATTCGAGCTTTGCACTGAAGAACGGCAGATACCAAAGAGAGGGAGAGAGAGAGGAGAATTAGGAGAAAATAAATTCTCAACCTGAACCAAATATCAATAGACGATTATTCAAACATGGCAAGCAATGAAAATCTTTGTGACCCACTTACGTCCCTCCCGTTCACTTAGGTCAACATATGTTTCCCAGGGAAGAGTATTAAAGAACGCGATACATTAGATATTTTCATATTATTTACCTAATTCTTCTGAATATAAATCATGTCACCATTAAAATCCTGTAATAAGCTACATACGTGCCAAGTTCTCAAGTAGGTCCACGATTCCAAAGGCAAATACGCATCTCGTTAGACATAAATTTCCTGTGGTAAACGTGATGCATCAGCAAATAGAACATACCTTTCTTGGCATAACTACGTTTTGACAGAACCTTGGAAGCATAGAGCTGCAAAACCTTTTGCAGCATAGCCTCAAGCCCTGGCTTATCTCCATCTTCTTTTGCCTGCACATTGCAGGGAAGATAATAGCAATACTAAAGAATATTGAACACATCATATGTTGCTGCATTTACACAATGAACTTACAAGGGTTATTTTAATAAAACTTGAAATTCTAAGAAAACCAAGCAATAACATGCGAGAAACTGAAAAAGACACTAAAGCAGTTTAACCCCCTCCCCTTTTGTCACTGATACTTCATACATGTTATATTTTTAACATACAAGTGATTAACATAATAACATTATTCTCAAGAATTTTAAGGGTATCATGAACCAGCGATTGAAATCATTACTGGTTGAAAAAAAAAAAACAGTAGAAGAGATTTACCTGTCGTAGTTGTGCACTAACTTCTGAAAGAAACCCCTCATCCAGTTGCCCTTCTTGCTCCCTTTGACTTATTTCCTAAGTATTTGAGATTATAAATTGGGAAATTGATAGGACTTGTTGAAAGAATATATGCTTGATGCAACTGATTAACATATATGCTCTTACTTCATTTAGATTAGAAAACCTCAACACAAACTATACTCATTTGCATAAAGTGTGATCACTTTTGCCTTTAGAAAAGACCAGATGATGCAAGATTCATTTATGTTAGTAGGCAACTATGTTTAGACTTTAGATCACTCTGCCGTTCCTTATTATGGCTAACTACTTTCAGTCCTCATCAAATTCAGTTTCCCCGAAAAATTGCAGCCTTTTGAGGGGTATAAGATGTCCCATTGTGCAATAAAACATGTCACTCTCAAAACAGAGAGAAAGTGAAAACTTACTTTTTCCATCAACGTGAGGGCTTGACGATCTCTGGGAGGCCAGGGAATCTCTTCAACATCATCAACTACAGGTTTTAGTACTCCCTTGAGGACATCTGTAGCAGATTCTATTTTTTCCTGAGTCAAATTATATAAAGGATTCTTATCAAAAGAAGCATTGATGGGAATAAAACAAGCACGGCGACAAGGTTAACAGAGGTAAGAAAATACTTTGGTCTTATGAACCAATTGATCCACTATGCTCATCACAATTAAAGCCAGCTCCTCATAATCTTTCTGCATATTCACAATAAATGAAAGCTACTTTTACGTAATGGCATGACTATGAAGGGACTGAGTAAAGAATCATTCTAAGGGATTAAAAACCCTGCTTTATCATTCTCAGATTTGCAAGTATCAGTTCTTGCTGCAAGGCGGATCCAAAAGCTTGGATTGAAGGCAAGGATATTTTCAACAACGAGTTTCTGAAGCTGTTTGCAGAGGAAAATAAAAAATAAAAATATGTCAATTTAAAAGAATTATGAAGTAAACTCAGTAAAAATGCTCATGCTTTTGAGTGAAAAGAATAAGTTCATATATAACCCCATTCACATATGAACACAAGATTGCATTGGCAATTTGATGCAAAGAACAAAGAGTAAACTTTACATGAAACCCCAGCATTTCAACAAGAGAAATTCAGATCAGATCATTTTGTTGTCTAATACGGAAAATATTACATCTAAATTCTGTATGGTAAACAAACTAACTATCCTTCCATGAATGCTAAGTAAAAGCATTAAATTTGATAGCCAGGTAATGAATAAGGTGTATTATGTCAAGGGGGGAAATTATAACAGCACCACAGACAACTTAAAGACAAAACCACAGTTTGATATCAATGTGATTAAATACAAATACTGAAAGTAAGGACAATATGAAAAGGAAGGATGGGGTAGGGGGAACGATATCTATATCCTTACGTCAGGAGGATTTGAATCCCTCAGCATATCTATGAGCCTATCAATTTCCACAGTCTTCTTGAATGCTTCCTCAGCATCTTGATCGACTGCACATATCAAAGTTCTCCTGTTTTAGATCCAAAAATGTAAATTTACTAATGATCCCATTATCAATATGAGAACTGTACAACGAAACACTAGAAATTAAAATAAACCATACATGAGGCTCATTTGATTTAGTAACTCAAGCGCAATAAGAGCAGGATGTCACGGCTTTGGAACTCCCTTGTCCTTTAACCATGCTAGCCTTAGCTTGATCTTTGCTAAGTTAGCCAAACCCTCAGATTGTAGGCAAAGAAACTAAGATACTCAAACACAAGAGAGAAGAGAGCTTGGATGAAAGAACTTAAAAGCTTTATTGATTTCCTTGCTTTGTTTGTTTGCTTCTTGTTAGTTACAAATGAGAGGTGTAGGGGTATTTATAAGCCTCCCCTTTCTTCCAAAAGATTCCCACCTTCTTATTAGATAGTAGAGATCAATCCAATCCTACGATTTACATTCATTCTCTAAAGTATTGAATAAAAATATCTACAAGAAATTTCTAGAGACTTTCTTCAAGATATTTGTGGAACATTCTAGAACATCCTAAAATATTCTAAATATCTCCATGTTCCTCCATAAGTTTCTAGAATTTTCTAAAATCTTCTAGATTTTTTTTTCAAATATTTCTAGATTGTTCCAGATGCTTCTAGAACATACTAGATTCTTCTCAAACATTTTGGATTCTTCTGGAATTCTCGTCCTGGACATTTCCGAAAACACCCTAACGTTGTAAGTTCTTCTCTTTCTGGACACATGTTGTAACATTATCCCCCACCTAGTCTAATGATGCACTCGTCACTGACTTGATTCATGTATCAAGGATTTCTCTTGCAAGGATCCTTATTCTTCTTTGTCATAAGGCCATTATTCTCTCCTCAAAAAGTTAGCTCATCAAAGTGCGGCGCAAACCTCTCTCCCCTTCTATCCAGGGGGGCCATATCATTCCATCCACAGGAGGTCCAAGTATCATTACCTTCTCTCCTACAAGTTGGCTTAATGGGGTGTGCAGCGCACCCGCTTATATAGCCAGGATCCTCCCCTAGCCCCTCCAATGTGGGATGTAATAGCTCCCCCAGCCAATCTGTGATGCCCCCATCATAGGTGGCCTACCAGAAGAGCCCACCGACTCGACAAACTCAGGTCTGACTTAGACCTTCAACACAACCCTTTACCCCTTCAAGTTTTCTAAGAGTATGATCTTCCAATATACTCATATCATTTTCAATCTTCTCAACCTTACTAGTTCTTTAAAAGGCATCGATTTTATCTGATAAAATAGCAAGGTCCTTGATGCACACTGTACTGGTTCCTCGTGCCTTCTTTCCACCATGGTGTGAAGGTTGAGATTCCCCTCTCCTCTCTTCTACGTTAACAAGAGTCTCCTCAATTATATCCAACATCCTTGTCTACAAGTATGAATTTGAACCGCGGCTCCCTCAAACCTTAGCTATGATAACACATTATCACGACCTTGGAACTCCCTTGTCCTTGAACCATGCTAGCCTTGGTTTAATCAACCTCTTGATCTTTACTAAGTCAGCCAAATCCTCAAATTGTAGGCAAAAAACTAGAGAACTCAAATACAAGAGAGAAGAGAACATGGATGAAAGAACTTGAAAGCTTTATTGATTTCCTTGCTTTGTTTGTTTGCTTCTTGGTGGTTACAAATTAGAGGTGTGAGGGTATTTATAGGCCTCCCCCTTCCTCTAAAACATGCCCACCTCCTTAAGGGACAGTGGAGATTAATCAAATCCTACAGTTTATGTTTATTCTCTAGAGTATTCTATAAAACTATCTACAAGAAATATCTAAATATTTATAAAGATATTTCTAGAAACTTTTTTCAAGATATTTGTGGAACATTCTAGAACATCATAGAACCTTCTAGAAAGTTTCCAAAAACACCTTAACCTCATAGGTTCTCCTCTTTCTGGACACATGTTATGACAGGGAGCTGGCAAGTAAACAAGTCAAATTATTACCGGGACTAAGTGTCGAGCCAGGAATATTACCTCTTCCTCCAATTCAAAGGAAACAGTCTCTGCCTCTTCATCCAGAAAATAGCATGGCAACGTGGAGCCAGAAAACCCTGAATTTGGAGAAGAAAATATGATTAAGCAGGATTACTTGAAAGGTTCTGTCAGAATCAAGAAAGAAAAAGCCTCAAAATGTAGTGAACATCAAATAAATACACGATATGGGTGAGGAATCCGTATATATGAACTCTGCTCACATCAACTGCTTGGTCTCAACGACCAAGAATCAAAGAAAAGCATATATTGCATAAAATTAGGTTTTTATCCTTATCAAGTGCAGAACATGATAAAAACCAGACGCAATTGATGATGAAGTACCTGTAGATGTGAAGAAAGCGAAGGAGTCGGGACGCAACGTCGTCGAAGAAGATACGGAGAAGCAGAAGTGGTGACAGAGAATGCAGCCATTGCGGAAGTTAGAGCACTAAGCACTGTGACTCTTTGGCGGGAGACCCTCTAATGGCCGTTCAAGCCCGTGCAACCAAATCTCCACGATACGCCTTCATCTGAAAGTTTGTTCATACATTTTTTTTTTAACGTTTTCTTTTTTTTTTTCCTTCCGATGATAATAAAATTTTTCTTTTACATTTATAAATAATAATTTACTTTTTTAAAATATTATAATTTTTTAAAAAAAATTATTATCAATAAATCTATATAAATTATTAAATTATTCTTATTAAAAATAAATTATTTATAAATTTTATCTAAATATTCATAACATTTATTTAAATAAAATTATCATTTACTTTTAATAAAAATAATGTAATAATTTATATATAAATTTATTAACGATAAAAAATTTAAAAAAATTATAATATTTTAATAAAGTTAAATTATTTTTTAAAGGATTTTATTATTATTTATTATCTTTTTCTTTTGGAGGTATCTGTTGGACTTTGTCGGGAGGCCCAATAGTGAAAACTTCAGGCCCAACATGGCAAACAATAAAAGTCTTGTGAAAAAATGGTGAATCAGAAGCCGACATTTTGGCCCGAAAGTAGAAAAGCCCATACTTAACAGTTTCCTACACTTTTCTATCTTTATCCATCTATATAACTAACGAGGATTGAGTATAATAAAAAGTGTCCACATTCAATGGAACAAGATTATCCTAAATAAGAAGATTCATGGATGCAACAGGAAAAATATATATATATATATTATCCGTCTGTATGAACTAGAAGACATTAAAGGAACAATACACGCAAACATCCTCGAGTATTGTGTCATCATTAAAAACAACAAATACCAATAAAATGATTGAAGATATAAGTTATCAAATACATTCGAATATGAAACTTGAATAATCCATATTTTTCTAAGAACATGAAAAATTTCACATCAGAGTGAGGTTGCATTCCATGCACTTGTGCCCATGTGAAGTATGCACGCGGAATTAGTAAATAGAATACAAACATGTTTCTTGCCCTGGAAGCTCTTCAAACAGAATAAGATGGGGACTTGACGGACAGACATCACATTCATGCCCATTGACTACTTTTACCTCTCCCAGCCTTCACAGTCCACAAATGGGGATATGAAAAGCGAAAACAGTTCACAGTGCTGGGAAGATAAAACTTAACTCTTATGAACATTATTGATTTTTTGTCATGAATTCTCTCATTCAATTCTTATAAAATTGATACTTTCTGTTTGACTAATTATAATCGCATATATTTTCAATTCATTCGTGCCAAATATAATAATTATAGATAATCTCGTTATATCAACATGTTGTGCGAGAAATAACAAATCAGAATTCTTTTTTCTTTTCTTTTTGCACAATAAGTCAGAGTTCGAATACGCAGGAATCAAGGACCAAAAGAGATAATTAATGCGATGGTTGGCCAAAATACAGTTAATGCAATGACATGTACAAAACATTTAGTAGACTACTACTGTTTTTTTAAGAAAATGTTGATATTGATATTTAAAATATCATAAATTCATTTAACAAGTAAAAAATTTAACTGAGTTGTGTTCCGATTGCTCATTAGAATTAATATGGAAAAAATTTATATACTTAAATTTATATATTTAATGTATTTGTATTCAATAAAATCAAGATATGTGAATTTTTTTAGATTATTTTTATAATAAATTTTTGTTATTAATTAAATTAATACATTAAGATCCATATGTTATAATTTGATTTAATATAAGTATATTAAGTATATAAGGTTAAGAATATAATTCTTACCCGATTAATATAGATATTAATAAGTTTAAAAAATACTTATAAAAATATTTACAAATTATTCATCTTCGAAGTTTACATATCTTTTTTTTTTTTATTTGAATAATTTTTCATGTTGACAATAAAATTCAATTCTAATACTCATGAAACGTACTAAATCACATATTTGTCAATTGAATCAATTTTTGTTAGAAAATTATTATTAAGACCAGAGCACGATAAATGTTTCATAAATGTTACTACTTTTTCGGACGTAAAATAAATATTTGCCACTCTGAATCTTAATATCCAATGTAAAACGCACATATCATGCACCAACCTTGCAACTAATTTGGTGCTTGCCCAATTAAATGCCCCTTTCAACTGTTATGTCCTTAAATTTCCATGATAACTCGGTCCTTCCACAGCGTTCACCTTTTGTTGATGTTACCACTCACAAGAAGTGGCGTGCCAGAACCACATGGTTGTGAAATTATGAGCGAGACAGACACCCATGAAAAAGTTCACATAATTCGTCGTTCAAAAGCCTCATTCATGTGGGTGTATATGACATTTATATAATAAAAAATAGGTTTTAATGTTCAATGTACCTTTCTTATCTTCTGTGCTGACCTTGTCCATGCTGCCAACTTGCAAAATCTCACCCAAATATTTCCTTCAAGATTCTGCCGACGCGCCAAAACACACGCACACGTTTGTAACGTGACTCGCTCTGAAAAAGTATTTACCTGTCGCCTTGTATATGTGATCAATTTTGTGATGCCAATAAGGGCGAATTATGCAAAAACCTCGTTTAAAGAATTAGAAGACAAAATTTTTTTCCACTAAAAAAAATTAGAAGACAAAAGGGCAGGAAAATGAGGAGAACTATTAGCTAGTAAAACTAAAAAAAAAATTCTGCACTTCATTGTTTGGGTCTTTCATAGAATACGCGAGGAACAGAAAACCTTTAAAATTACGTCCCGAATCAATAGAGAATCCCAGTCATGAATTGAACCTGGACTTCTCACATACATCGAGTGCAATAGCAGATCAACTCTTTTTTCCCTTAAAGTTATTAATCGCTCTTCTAACTCTATTGATATGCAATTAATAATATTTGGTAATACGAAATATTGATTTATAAATGCTATTAATTCACGAAATAAGGTTGTTTACGTTGAGATCAAATTTCAACCAAAAGCCTTCGTGAAAATGCAAAAGGTAGGTGTCAATGTGTTTTGCCTGAAGCAGCAGATAATATTTTGTTTTAATGAATAATATATACTCCCTTTATTAAAAAATATAAAACATTTTTTGAGAAATTAAATATTAAAAAATGTAAGGTATTTTTAATCTTTTGAGATGTAATCATTATTTTTTTAAAAAGTGCCCCTATTAATAAATGATTTTATATTTATTATAAAAAATTCAACAAAAATAAATATAAAAAAATAGGATTAGTTTGAAAGTAGGTATTTACTTTATTAAGGAATAAGATTCTATTAAAAATGTCTTATATTTTTTTAACAAAGGAAGTATATATATGTAATATTCTTTTGGCTTGAAAATTATACATAGTACTGGGGGTGTGTGTTCAATATATGATCCTCTTAAGCATCACTTTATTTTAGTTTTGTATATAAAAACACAAATGCTTTTTTGTTAAAAAAAATTTCTTGGTAAAATTTCATTAGTATTAGTTAAGAGACACCCATTATATATTAGGAGTAATCGTAGAAGAGTAGCATGAATACTCGAAATAATGATTATAAATAATTAATTAATTAAACTAGTTTTTCTTAATTTTAATGAATTATTGCTTAAAAAATACTATATTTAATACCGGAATGCTACTACGACTATTATTATTTACTAGAATTACTACTAATTTAGTAAATAATATACTCTTGTATTATTAATTTCGATATACTCCTATATATAAAATTTGAAATCATTAATTTAGTTATAAATGTAGCTTGACACAACACCCACACTCGGAGTCTGTGGATGCTTCTTTTCTGGTTCGATTTAGATAATGCTCAATTTTTTTATTTGTTGATAAAAGGACATCGCATTGAAGAAAATAGAATAAAAGAGGACATCATCGTCCTTACTGGCAAAATAAATACAATTGTGATAAAAATAAATAAATAAATGACCTTAGGACGCCTGGGTCCCACAAGTTAGACATGGCCCTCATCGACCCCGCCTCTCAGGATTCATATTTAATTTATCTGCAAAACTTTTGAAGCGCTTTAAAGTTTGAATTAATATATGTGAAGATAAATGCAAGCCATGCATCTCCCAACCCAAGTTCAAAATCAGAGCTCCGACATCACTCTCCGGATTCAGACACACTCAGAAATGAGAGTAAAAGTTTTTCCTCTAGAACTAGACCCCAAGGTCCAAACACTCCACTTGCAATCTCCCACTTTAAATATACTCAGAAGAGAAATACACACACAGACTAAATATATTTGAATTAAACTAGATTATAAGTATATGAGTAATTTTGTTTTACTCTGGCGCCTTAAATCTCCAATAAAATAATAATGTATGTGCTAATTTGTTTCTTCTCAAAAATCAACGGAGGAAAAGCTTAATTGATCTTTTAAAAAGTTTCCCTGAATTCTAATAGAGATACCATCGATAGTTTAGCTATATATTAATATGCACCACAAGGAAGTGGTTTCTCATGAGTGAAGTGTTGTTAGAAGAGAAGAGAAAGGAATTAAGAATATCAACATGTCTGCAAAAATGTAACATCACAGTATAAAAAATAAAAGGTATTACTTTCATTCATAAATGTAAAATATTTTTTAAAAAATTAAATATTAAAAAATATAAAGTATTTTTAGTTTTTTAAATTATAATCATTGTCTTTTTTTAAATATCCCTATTAAATAAATTAATTTATATTTATTTTAAAATAAAATATCATATTAAATATGAGTAAATATAAAAATATATTATTAATTAAAGATAATTAATTATTTTATTAAGAAGTGAGATTCAATTAAAAATATTTTATATTTTTTAATTAAGTGAGTAAAGATTGGCAAAGTTCAAAAGTCATGAAAAAACAGTACAATTCAAGTAGCAAACATGAGCCTCTCTAATTAATATTCCCTCCATTTTTTATTATGACATAAACTAATACATAATTTATTATTATTTTAAGAGAGACTACAAATTTCAAGGTAAAAAACATTTATTACACACACTTTCTCAAATTGCCGCTCGTGAATGAACGATATCATTAAAGTAGATAAAAAAGTAAACATCATTTACAATAACATTTTATTTTAAATATTTTAATTTTAAATATAATTATTATAATTAATCAATTTTTTAAAATATTTAAATTGGTTAAAATTTACTTATATTTTAAAAGGGATGGAGTGATTACTTACTTTTGAAGAGCAAAAGACTGTGGGAACTATGAATAAAAGATGTGAAATTTAAATTATACAGAAAAAATATAACTTTTTGGTTCTAAAATTTTTCTCAATTACTGATTAAGTTTCTAATCTTTAATTCAGAAAAAAAAATAATTTCTTATCACAAAACAACCCAGTTTATATAATTTATTGATTTGATATAACTCAATTTCTATAATTTTTTAATTGAATAAATTAAAGGATTAAATTGAGTTGAATCAAATTTCAAATACTAAATCAATAATTAAATGGAAGTTTAGTGACTAAAATTATTTTAATTGTATAAGTGAAAAACAATAGGAAAGTCATGTTATATAGAGAAAACGAGGAATGCATGGATTCGTCCATAGTTTTGATAGGGTCAGAAAAAGTTAATGATAATGAAGAGGCCTAGCAGTTCTCGCTGGACCCCTAATGCGTAATGAGCATCCATAATTCTTTTGTCTTCACTCTTCAGTCCCTGTTTCGCTTGCCCTGCTTCTCAGACTCAGATCAATCAAAAACAAAAACCCATTACCCATCTCTCCCTCTTTCTCTTTCTCAAGGACAGAGAGTGAGAGGGATTCGCAGACAAGAATGAAGATACTTTGTGACGTGTGTGACAGAGCTGAGGCCTCTCTGTTCTGTCCCTCCGACGAAGCTGCTCTCTGCTACGCCTGTGATCGCACCATCCACCATGCCAACAAGCTCTCTCGCAAACATTATCGCTTCTCTCTTCACCATCCTTCCTCTAATTTCTCTCCTCTCTGCGATATCTGTCAAGTATGCCACTCTTTCTTTCTCATTCTCTGACTCTGCCCTTTAATTTATCCACAAAAACAGAGTCAGATCATACAGAAATGGTGCTGGGTGCTTGTTGTTTGTATCTTCTTAGAAACACCGAATTTTGAAGGAGAAAAAAATGCTTTGATTCGAGAATCTCATGTTATGGTGATTGTGCTTTTTGATGCAGGAGAGGAGAGCGTATCTGTTCTGCAAAGAGGACAGAGCAATACTGTGCAGAGAATGTGACATTCCTATCCACAGAGCCAGCGAGCATACTCGGAAACATAACAGGTTTCTTCTCACTGGTGTGAAGATCTCTGCTTCAACCTCAAGCTCTGATTCGCAATCCAACGTGAAGAGACACAGATCATCATTTTCTAGCGAGAATGCTTATTCTTCAATGGTGGTGAATAGTTCTCTATTGGCCTCAGCGACTGGCAATGGCAGCGTTGAAGACCAGTGCATAATTAGTAAAACCAGTTCAGTTTTGACAAGCAGCATTTCTGAATACTTGATCGAGAAGATACCTGGTTATTGCTTTGAAGATCTTCTTGATGCTTCTTCATTCCCTCCACCTAATGGTTTCTGTTAGGTTTGCCATAAACCCTATATCAACTGAACTATTATTATGCATTGATCTTGGATTAAGATGTACTCAGCAATTTCTTTCTAGTATCGCTCACTAGCTCACACACACCAGCATTACTTTTTCTTCTTCTTCTCATTTTGTGTTTGCACCTAGCGAACACATTAGAGGGAGATATGTTTATTTTTCATATGGTATTGTTCTTAATAACTCTTTGTGTGGTTTTGCTGTATAATATTGCACAAGTATGAGAACCTGTCAGCATTTGAGGAGCATGATGTTGAAGCAAGCATGTATTTGTTCAGAAGCTTCAGACGAATCTCATCCACTTTAATCTGTGCTTCTCGAATCTTCCTCATATTGGCAATTCGCTGGTTGGATTTCAGGAAATGACTAAAGAAAACTTCGCCTAATTGTTCATAAAACCAATCCTTTATTAACGAGACAGCGTTAGAAGCTCTCGTTGATTAATTAACAATTTGTAAAATCAGTTAGAGGATATCATCTGTTTAGTTATTTGCATTTCCTTTCTTCTTTCTGCTTTTTTTTTTGGCAATCTTCTCAGCTTTCAATATGCGTTTAAAATTCCAATTTTCCTTCTTTTGGAATTAGGTGAGAGGAGTACTTTTCATTAGTGTGGGCTGTGGAGGTCAATAAGAAACCTACGGCTCTTTGAAGTCAACTAGATGATTGGGGGAAAAAAAAAGATATTTATTAGTTTTTTTTAATTATTATTCAACCATTTTTACGTTGATATGACTACCTCCCATTTTCTACCCTGAAATTCAACTAATTCCGTGTTGGCATTTGACGATGGCGTTCGTTCAAAGCTTTCTGCTTGCAATTCAGTGGATGTAAGGAACTTCCGAAATCTCTAATAGGCAATGAGATCATTGAAAGAAAGAATGGCATTTATGTGCCTTACAAGCGAATGTGATGATTAATAACACACACGCGCGCGCGCGCGCGCGCACACACACACACAAGTTAAATGCTAAACTTGAGCTGCACTTTGAGAGTTGTTTAAGCTTAAGAACTAAAAAAAAATGACCTAGTAATAGTATATAAACATGAAACTATCATTTCTAAAAAAAAATTTAATATATAATCCAAAATGCAGTACTAGTTAATTAGATTCAAACATTCTGAAGCTCAATTAAAAGTTGCTCTTTTAAGAATGCATGACTCAAGGCTTATAAATGATAGGGTACATTCTATATAAAGATGATATGCAGGGCTTATAAGTAATATAATTTTTAAAAATAAACATATTAATATTGTTATGTAATCACTAGTTTTATGGATCACTATTTATACTATTTTGAATTATATAAATATTTTCGAATTGTTATTATTTCAAATAAAATCATCTTTATAAGATAAATGACTAACTTTTAATTTCAAGGGATATAAATGGTAATTTCAAAAATCAGTTAAAATATGTTATTCTCTAAATTTTGTAAGAGGTCTTAATTTTTAAAATATTTAATTATAAATTATAGATCTCCAAATGTTCCAAGATGCAATTTTAGTTGTTTTCATGTCAAAATATTTCCTCTGTTTTATGTATTAGTTACCTTTTAAAATAAATTATTGTTCTTTTTTATAAGTTAATTTACATAAAAATTGACAACTAATCTTTTCACAATTTTTATTACTAGAATAACTGGTTGCATATGAAAGAAAAAATTCTTTTAAAGAAAAAATTGGTGAAAAGGGCTTTGTTTGAAGGGAATTTGGTCCTAAATACAATTGAAAATCAAGACTAATATTTTATTCATTAAACAATATAATCAAATGATTGAAATACTCCTCTATTTAAATCAATAAAATTGAAAAAAAAAAACAAAAACTACCTGTTCAACTATGCCCCTCAAGCCAGAAGTCTTACGTCCCAAACCAAAAACCTTACACCAAACGAAAAGTCTTACATTTTAAGTCAAAAGTCTTACACCTAAGGTTTTTAGGTTTTTAGGTTTAAGACTTTTGATTTAGAATGCATGTGTTGAATAGAAAATTTTTTTTTTTAATTTTATTGGTTTAAATAAAAGGATATTTCAATCATTTATTTATATTATTTAATAAACAAAATATTAGTCTTAGTTCTTGAATTACATTTGGTTTTTGAGATTAACTTTCTTTCCAACACGTTTCTTTTTACTAATTTTTCCTTCTTTTTAAGATAGATATTTAACAAAGATAAATTAAAAAAATTCATACGCCAAGAACTTTTTTTTCTACGACTAGGTCTAGGCATAAACTTATTTGATGCAATTATTGAATAAAACTGTAGTCGTAAAAAAAAAAAAAAGCAAAGGAAAAAAAGAGTGTAAATTTTCTTCTCACGAGTCCAAATTTCCGTCTATCTTCAATTGAATCAATCGTGTGGTAGTTGGCGTTCGAAGCCGTGAATACCACTAGGCAACAAACAATACCATTGCTTTGAGCCTCCAAAATGTTTACTTATACTTTATATAATCAGTTATTATTTTACTAAGTAAATATCAATATTAGTTGCATATTTTCATAAAAAAATTTGTTGCTTGCTTACATATTTTCAATAAGCATTAATGTTAATTACATCTTCTCATTAAGAATTTATTAACTCACATTTCATTGCACCTATACTCCCTCTTTGGTCTTATTTATAAGATAGAGAAAGAATAATTTTTTTAGTCACATTATTATTTTTTTTCATAAATTTTTTTATCCTTTATTAAATATTAAAAAAAATATGTTAGTGAAGGATATATATTTAATAAAGGTAAAATTTAAAACTTATTAAATTTTAACATAATATTAAAAATTTTAAAATTTTTCTTAATAAAATATATTAAAAATAATTTATAAATAAAATTAGAAGAGTAATTTTTATTCCCAATATCAATTAACCATTCTCTCATTAAAAAGGATGACGTTGATAATATGATATTAAAAAATTAGGCTCTTTTTTAATTGCATTTATTTTTTGTTGAATTTTAAAGGCAGGCGCAACGCCCAAAGAGGCACCGGATCGAACCTCGAACACAGTGCGTCAGTGCCATAAAGGCAAAATTTGGTACCACTAGGCCCAAGAGTCTTGGATCTTTTCAATTACATGTATTGATTGTAGAATATTATGAATAATACCAATAAGTAAATAATAGTTGCTACTATTAAATGAAAATTTTTAAAATTAAAATTATTTAAATTTTATTTAAAATCAATCATATTACAAAATAAATTAAGAGCTCGTTTTTATTTTAATTGGATATAATTAATTAAAAAATTAATTAATTAATATAATTTATTTTAATTATAATTAATTATATTATAACACAGTATGTTTGAATACTATTTTTTAAAATTAATTTTAATAAAATTAAAAATATTTAAATAATTTAATTAAAATTAATTTTAACATTACAAATTACTATAAAGAATATTATTTTTTAAAATTAAATTATTAATAAATTTATATTTAATATTATTAAATTTGTTAAATTTTATTTAAGAAGTAAAATATATCATTTAAATTATATATCTGATTAATTATAAAAAAATTATAATAATTAATGAAGATGATAATATATAAGTTAATCTCTAATGACATCATATATATTGTAATGTCTATCTTGATGTTACAAGGACAACATTCACGTATCGTTATGATAATTAAGATTTAATAAAATTCTCTAAAAAAGTTATCACAACTCAAAGGTTTGAAGATAATTAGTTAAAATATTGGGATCTCAAAAAAATCTTTTTTAATATATTGTTTGAGCTCAAACTATGGTTAAAAATCAGTTAAGAACAAATATGGAAGCATGAAAATCAATTCACTTCGAAACAGACTAAAACAAGTCATTATGCCCTTATTTGGTATGTTCAGCGCGGTGCAAGCCACACCAGCCATGGCGGATGGCACAGAGAGATGAATCCCTCAAGGACCTCTTGCGCCGCGACACGCACCTGCTGTCATGGTTTCTCTCTGAACTTTCAAAGCGCACCGTTTCACTATCTGACATCTGATTTGAGCGATTCAAATGTTCACACGAAATTCTTTAAGTCCTCTAGCTAATGGTATCACATCTATTTAAAAGATAGACATCCAAATTCAAAATAATTCATTTTCATAGCCAAAACACATACTATAGTGTTTAACTTAAAATACCAAATGTTATTAGCCCTAACGACACCTTGACCACCTCAAATGAACCACATATCACATAACAATTCAATTATAACACACAAATGAGTAATCACACTCAAAATGATCACCAAACCCTCAAATGACAATAACACAACGGGGTGGATGAAATTTAACAAATAAATCAATTGATCATTTTTGACACTCAAAACACTTGACATACATCACATGTAAGCAACTTGGCCAAGCACACACTTAATTCATAACATCATTCTTGGATCAAGATATACATACTTATCACAAATTCATACAAGTGATATCCAAATAATGTCATGTTCCTAAATTGGTAATATTTAGTGACAATATTCGTTACAAAATAAAAAAAGAGAAAGGAAAGAACTATACTATAATACTTTTCACTCTTCAGACGCTTCTTCCTTCCCCTTGCCTCTACTGAAGCCCTCACCTGTAAAATTTAACTACGAGGTAAAATAAATATCTCAGTAATCAATATAGTTCGTCAAATGTTTATTACCACAAATAACCATGAAAAAATATCAAAACCATAGTAATAACAAGCATATCATAATTATGAAATAAGTGCATCTTTTCTCAACAAAACATATAGTTTTACACTAGCATGATCGTTTAATCACCGAACCTCCTATACTCCCTAACATGAAACCATAGACTCTCCTAAATCAATCACTTGTTATCCCGAGCATACTTTCGGTGGTAGAAATACTCGACCAAAGGTAATCTAACCCGCCTATGAACTATGATTTTTCTCTCTTTATACACTTGTGATAGAAGCATTATTGACTCCTAACCACACCCTAATGAATATCAGGGAGTTACCAGACTACTCGAATGTCTCATGGTAACAGTTTCATATAATGCTACTCCGGATGTCCCATGGTGTCAGCCCAATCATATGAATTTTTTACTCATATATCTCCACACACATATTTTCACATATCTTGGATGAATTCCTATCCCCTATGATCATGCTCTTTCACAAATTTTATCACTTTTCATCACATTCCTACATCACAATCTTATACATATCGAATATATATATATATATATATATATAAAACTAAAATCGATAATCTTTCACAGATCAATTTTTTCATGCTAAAATCATTTACAATGTCATATTGTGCACAAAACTCTTCGAAACCACAACTTTATCATTTATAATTACTTCTACACAATTATAATAGTTAATAAATATAATAAACTATATGATTACCTCAACCCTTGTGTCATACAAAAAGGATTACCGTGACTCAACGTTAGCTCCACACGTTCTATATGCATGATATGGCATGAGTAATGTAACATCCCTCACCTCACCCCACCGGAGGTCTTTTGAACTGGGCCCACCCACATCACTGTAGCAGAGGCCGGCTTTCCCCAATGTGGTACTTGGTTTATTCTCACCCCATCAAAAAAGTCTTTTGGAGCCTTCCCAAACTCGAATCCCCAACCTCTACCACCTTAATGAAGTTGATGTTAAGTTTGGTACCATTGAATTAATAAACCTAATTAAATACACTCAATAACCTTATCTTTTCAAAATAAAAATATAAACTTTTAAAAATATTTATTATTTAATATATTAAAAAAGAAAGGATGAAAATTAATTAAAAAAATGTGATGTTAAATTTTTTACATTTAATTAAATTTTAATCTATTTAAAATATTTTATATTTTAAGATAAATTTTTTTTAAAAAAATGCTTTATAATTTTAGACAAGACTAGCAATATGTTGCCCGAAATTTCCTCGCAATGCCGCGTTCGCGGTGCGTCGGTGAACGCGGAAAAAGTTTGAAACGAATCACGAGGAATCTTGTTTTCTCTGCTCCTTGTCAATAACATGAGCCAAATTTGTCCCAGAGCCGGTCCCTCCGCACAAACGGACAAGGTGGACCTTTTATTTCAAAAATAAACCACCTGTGAACACTTTTTTATTAGATTTACCTTCTCCATGAGGAGCTGATTGAGGGTTCGTGAGTTGAAAATTGAAGCGATCAATAGTCCTGGAGATTAACCTGAAGTTCAATTCGCATAGTTTGAAATAACAGTCTTATTTAAATCACAAATTAACTTCTTACCTAAAATCTAGCTAATAAAGTGATTAATGATAATAACTGTTTTATTTATCAAATGATTAATGATTAATCTTTATTTTTATCTTTATATCTGGCAAAAGGTGCCGTCTGCAATGCTCACCAAATTTGTTTTAAAAAATTATTATAAAAAGGAAATTTTATGATAATGTATTTTGAAATAAAATTAAAATGTTTTATTATAATTTTTGGCATTATAACTTTTTTAAAAAATTATTTTTTAAATAAGATATTTTTATAAACAGCATATTAATATGTTTTTATTACCATATATGTTAGTTTAACGGTCCATTGGAGCAATGTTGTTCTAGGATGCATTTGTTATATTAACAAATATTATTTATTTCCATTTTCTACCCACTAAAATCATCCCCAATGCACAAAAAGTTAAATATATATATATATATAGTTATTTATTTTTTATTTTTCAAGATAACCCTATATCCTAACAGCCAGCAGTCATAATATAAATTTTTTAAAAAATCTGGACATTATTTAAAGAGTTATCATCTCCAAAGCAATAAGCTTTATATACATCTCGAGAAATCAAAATCCAGAATGATAGGGTTTTTTTTTTGGGTGAGATAGAATGATAGGTTATATCCATAAATTTATAATTATTTAGACAATTCTATTTTATGCCTTCTGAATACTATTTTTATACTACAATTATCAATTTTAATATTTATTCCATATTCATCTTTTATTAATTTTTAATATGTTCATTTTAATTTTCTCATAAAATCTTGTTTTCATAAAGCCTTATAAAGAATCTATATTTTCTCAAGTTTTAAGAGAATTTATAATTAAGTCAACTTATTTGTATCATTTAAATTATCAGAATTTTGTGTTTCATATTTACTAAGAATGTATTTTCATGCAAAATTATTTTCATATAATATTTGTCAATTGTATTGATTGTAACAATAAGTGAAAGTTTATAATTGAGAAAATATATAGAGATCATTTCAGCTGATTTCCAATGTGGTCGTAAGCAGTCCGTTAATGTAATTTCGAATCTTACAATCATGGAGAAATCAATAGATAAAATCAAATTTATATGAAACCACATGATTCACCAGCCATGTGGAAAAACATGTTTGACTATATTATAAACATCAATTTCTTTTACATATGTATATCTCTCCAAAGCTTCAGTGAAGAACTATCAGAAAGATCGAGTATCCTGGTACGCTACACTAGCAGTAACAATGTTTGATACGGCAATCATATTCATATTCCAAGGAGGAAAAAGGAACCTAACTGCCGGTCTAAAGTACCAGAGTATGAAAGGCGAACAAACAAAATTATGATGTGTATTGCATAAAACATTGTTCATGCGTGTCATTTAGCAGTGCTTCTTACACCCATTCCTTTTCCTTTTTACATTTTTTTCCCACCCCTTTGTCTTCCCGTATTATACAGTTGCGCAGGGAATAGAGTAAGAGAAGGAAGATATTTGATATACCTTTACATATAAGCAAACTAATGAAAGAATCGCACTCACTGCCGCATGGAAAATATCAACTCAACGAGGCCAGCCCTGCAAAAATTGTCAAATTTTATACTTGTAGACGTTGTACAGAATTAAATATGGTCCATAAAGTAATGAAAAATTATTCAAGACCTTTTCAAGAGGCAAAAGCGAAAAGCCTATCTGTTATACTTGTGCGGCAGATTGGACACTCATGACAAGCTAGGGAACAAGATTTACACACTGCAAAGTTACACAACAGGGTCGTGAGTGGTACAATCAAGTATAGCTGAAGGAAACGACCAGACATCATGAAGTAAATAGGTCTAGACGAATTAAGAAGACTCACAGCAGAAGTGTCGGCATGGGAGAAGAATTGCAGCGGTCGGTAATTCAAAGCATACTTTACAAACATGGGAATTGGCATCCCCATTCCCAAGACTCTTGAGTTCTTTATCCTTCATCTCTTGCATGCGAGCCTGAGATCATAACGTACAGATTAAAAAATCGCATCCAAACCATTTTTAATGTAAAGATTATATTGAAGATCAGTTCAAGTTTTCTATGTTAGAAACGTTTTAGTGACTGCAGATGCTTTTTACCTTGAGACGAACGACTAGGGGTTCTTCGGTGGAAACTTCATTATCTGGTTTTGCTACATCAAAAACCTGTTCTTTAGGAATATTGTTAATCTCGATGCCATTTGTTTTCCCATCATTTATTTGTTCTGTCCCATCACCTTTCTGATCAATGTTAGATTCTGGCACAGCAACCCCTTCTTTCTTTAACTTTGCAACAAGGACCCACATATTTGCCAAGTCATTCTCCAAAGCTTCTTCCCTTTTCTTGGCCTCTTGAATTTTTTTCCTGAACTCCTCTTCTATAAACTCCTTCTCAGCTAATGCTGCCTCCAGCGATGCCTCTCGTTGTTTCCTAGCTTGTAGTTCCATCTTCAAGTCATCTGCATCTAGACTCCATGAATCAAAGTCGTCTAAAGCAGCTCCTGACATTTCATTAGCACGGCTCGAAATCCTTCCCTTCCTACCAGATCTTGCATCATTGTACCTGCGGTTAACACCATTAACAGTTTGCAGGACAGCACCTCTGGAGTTGGCCAGGTCACGAGCAGCTATCAATTCTTTTTCAAATTTTGAGTTTTGCAATGAAAGGTTGGTCACTTCGTTAGCCAAATTCTTCAACTCCACTGCAGCAGCAGAGGCCAGTTCTTTGGCATAAGAAGCTTCTTCAGAGAGTTTCTGATTCTGTACACGCAGCCCACTGTTTTCTTCTGAAAGCTGAACTTGCTCTAGCTTTAGTTTTTCATTTTCAATCTCCTGTGAATGAGGGTGAAGAAATGTCATTTACTAAGGAAGTTGGATGGAGGGGGGAAACTGTTAATTGGACTAGAAAAGTAGTTATATTTCTGTACATATAGTTTCATATTCCACACAGAATAGTATTCCCAATACAGTGTTTCATTCATAAAAGCCAATAGTGAGGTGAGGTGTATGACTATCAGAGATTAGGAAATCATATTTTTAAATAACACATTGCGTTTGGAGTAGTAAGATCATATATTTGGTGGAGCTTCTTTTAGCAAAGAAAGTTTTCAAACAAAGTTAAAATTTGTAACGTCTCGAAAACATTAAAATAGAAACTTTATACCGAGAGCACTTGTTAAGAAGCTTTTGAAGAAAAAGCCCATCCAGTCTGGCACATGATCCGTAAAGGAATGCAACCATAAATTAAAAAAAAAAAATTCTAACTTACCTGGGACTGAATTTTCTTTTTCAACTCATCTATGTGTTCGCCAGATACAAAATGTTCAGATGACACTGATAAGCCGCCACTGGCAGCTGCAGCCAGTTGCTGCTCTAGCAGCTTCACTTTTTGTTGCAATTCATTATTCTCAGAACACTGACAACAAAATACATGGAAGGAGGATGCCAATTATCAGTAGAAACAATTAATTAAAAAAAGATTTCTTCATTGCCTTTGCGGCTTTGTCTGAAATAAGCTTTAAAAATTAAGGAAAAAGGAAAAAGGTGAGTCAGCATCGGAAAAGGCAATTCATACCTTATTATTAAGTTGTTCCTGGAGGACACGGTTGTCAGCAGATTTTAACTAAAAAAATTGTAAAGGAAGTCATTAAAATAGAATGAGGAAAACCAATAACCATAATAAAAATTTCCAGACATGGAAAATGTTATCCGCAAATGTTAATGCCGAAAAATTCAGCACGGTCAGAAATATGTATTGATGACTCTAGAAGCACCCAAATATAGCTAAAACGGTACCTACCTCCAGCTCAAAGGCCTTTTCGTTACACTGAGTCATTAATCTTGTGATCGTCTGTTCCAATATACCCACACATCAAATGAAATAAAATAAATGACTTTATCCAACCATTTGCAAGAATATGCAACCTTCATAACTAAAAGAATACATGAGAACATAAATGCAAGCATTGATACCTGTTGCATTTCGACCAGTGAAGCATTAGACATTGCAGCTTCACTACTCTCAGTTATTCTTTGTTCTAACACCCTCATTTGCTTCCTTTTTTCTAGGATGTCATGTTCCAGGTTCTCAACCTGTAATTAAAATTCATATTTTCAACATAAGGCTACAAAGCACATACGAACAGATGTCGACAACACTAGCACTTCTACAAGAGTTTAAGATGGTTTTTTTGTTCAAATATTAACCACAATAATTGCCCAGAAGATGTCGAAAGAAAATCAGAGTAAATGACTCTAGTATGTTGGCTGTCCATTAACATGGCACACCTGTGCTCCATAAAATTGTATTAAATAATGTCTATCATTAGTAATCACATCAAGCAGAATTTATCAAAGATCGCTAGACGAAAAAGAAAAAAGAAGAATGAATAAAGCTACCAAGAAACCAATAAATTGTGTTTAATGGCCAGACTTAGGATCATAAACAAATATAATTCGTATGCACTCTATACCTACATAATGCATGAGTGCAGCATAATTGGAAAGCAAGACAGAATACCTGGGTTTTGTAGCTTTCAGGATCATTTACAGACTGCTCCGTCAAGCGCCTCAGAGTGCTGGTACTGAAAGCAATATCTCCAGCAAGCATCTTGACTTGCTCTACTAGAAGATCCATCTGATCAGACATTGTCATGCCTCCCTACAATTGCGTAAGTAGTAAACATAAGAGATTTTAAATTATTAATAGATCTTAGAGTAACCAGCCACCGAAAGTGCAAAACTGAAATGAAATACAATTATGCCAATGTAGTGCCAAGGATACTGTATTAGAAACATTAGACCAACTTCAGTGCAATGTATGTGGAATTCTTGAAGTAACAATTGATAAATGATGCAGAAGGATGGCGCGTTATTATTTCTACCAATGCATATTTTATTCAGAGATAAAAGTAACAATACAGGCCAGGAGATAGAACAAACCCATGATAACTCTTAAAACAAAACGCTCCAGTTGTATCATGCAAACTACTTCCCTTGGATAGAGCTAACAATTTAGACCAACCCGAACCCGCCCGAAAAAATTTAGGGCCGGCTTAGCAAAATAATAATTTTTGATATTTGGGGTTTGGGCTTGCCCCAAATATCCAAATACAAAAATCATATTTTTATAAATATGTAAAATATAATAATTATTAATTAATTATTTAATTTTTATGTCATTTTATACCAAAGTAATATATTTGAGTGCACTACTATAGATATCTTTTTAAAATATTTATACTTTCATATTTTTATTATTTTTAATCTATAAGATATCTCTAAATAATATTTAAAATATATTTTACTGCTGATTTTTAGATTTTAAGACCCACATAGTTTTTCAAAAAAAAATTTGAGTCCTATACATCATTTAGGTATCCAAAAAATATATTTTTTTTATTTTTTATACAATAAAATAATTAATTTTAAAGTAAAAAAATTAATTAAAATACTTTTAGAAATACAATAATGGCAGCCCAAATTCCTTCTTGACTATTCAAACTTTTCAGGGAGTTGAGCTTATTCGGGTTAGGTCCACCCGAATTCCCGACTCTACCTCTGGACCATAATATTTGTCATTATTAACTAATTCACAAGTTACAAAAAATATTAGTTGAAACCTTGATTTACTAAAAATGTCCATGTCTTTCCATTTACACTATTTCATGAGTTTCTAATAACACATGCATGGTCTTTAAATGGAGCATTTAAAGACAAGGAATAAAAAAACAAGGGTATAAGTGAAAAAAATATAAAATTTACTCAATGTCCTACATTTTAAACTAAGGAATGCTTTTTGGAAAGTGACTTATATTGTGGTCCGAAGGAAATAGGTAATAAGACAGCAGAAATGAATAAATCATGAATTTACCACAGGAAGCTTTGTTCCGCTGATTAGTTCCCCAGCTTGTGTTGCTTCAGTAACAATACTACTTGCTGAGGAGAGCTCTTCATTCCATCTGCTTGATGATCTTCTATGTCTACCGTCATGAGATAGATCTGATGACATTCCAGATGCATCTTTCTGACACTCACTTTCAATCAACAGAGACCCATCACGTTGGACATCATATTTCTGCGGGGGAAAAGGGGGGAAAAAAATACTTACATGTTTCAACACTATCCTGAAAATGATCATGCTAGCACTAGTCAAGGATGGATAATGAGTATCTTTGATCATCCCCCATCTTATTGTCTTAAGGTGGTGGATAATGATAGGTTATATACCCTAGCTTTAGACTAGACCGCTTGTATCTTCTTTGATACTTTGTTCCCCTTCTACTCCCAAAAAAAAAAAAAAAGTGATGGCTACACCACAAAAGGCTCATTAAGTATAAAATTCTTAGTCCTAGCCCTGGTGAGGATCCAGTACCCAACTCAACTAAACTTTTTTTCAATAAAAAAAGAAGTATAAAACTCTTATAAATGAAGGATATTGTAAATCAGAGAAAGCTAGAAAAATTAAAAGACCATACCCAACTCAACTAAACTTTTTTTCAACAAAAAAAAAAAGTAAAAACTCCCATAAATGAAGGATACTGTAAACCAGAGAAAGCTAGAAAAATTAAAAGACCAAAATCCATGCAATAGCCGAAACAATCACTACTTAGCTGTAATTAAAAGGAGCCAAGCAGTGAGCAGAAGAAAAACTTAGTCTGTTGGCAATGGAAACTTGCAAAGTAGCACTTAAAGCGTCAAAATTCTGAATAACAGTGGAGTTTTCACTGGAACAGAATCCACAATTTGATATTGAAGGGAGCACTAACATCATCCTCGCCAGCAGATAGACTTCGTTGGTGGCCGGGAATATCAGGTAGATATCCAGGAATCGTATTCTTTGAAGAAACAAGAATGAGCTTCGTTAGCCTTTGGATCCTACTCATAAGGGCAGCCTTGGCGTCTTCTTCCTCCTCCAATCTTGATTGCATTTTCACTTGACCTTCTTCCAGCTACTCATGTAAAGGCACAGCATGAGAACAGGTGTAGTCTGGTTTTACACCCACAAATGCCAGTACAACAATCAGAATATAAAGTAGAATTCAGGAAAGCTAAAAACCTTCTGCTTTAAGCTCAGTATCTCCTCATGGTTAACGCCAGCTAGCATGCCCTTCCTTAGTTGATCAAGTTCTTGCTTGAGAATTGAAATTTCCCTTTGGTATTTCTTAATCAGAGATTTTTCATCAATAATCTGTTCAAGAAAAAATTTCAGAGAGAATCCGGGACCTCAAGTGCATGCTCTTGGAATTGCCACTATTTATCTAATTAATAGTTTTCTTTACAACAGGCTAATTAATAGTATTAAGCAAACCTTATTACGCGAGGCATAGATTTCTACTCGCTTAGCCCGGCTAGCAAACTTCAAAGTATTATGAGTTTCCTCCATGTTACTGGATGCTGGAGTGACTGTACATATAAGCTGAAATTTTTACGTCAGAAAATATGTTAATAAGGTACTCAAGCTGGCAGTCTATAACTCATTGTTCCATTATATCCGCATAGAGGTAGGAAAAAAAGGAAAACACTTTGAAAAGTCACTGTCGCATTTAATCAACACACTTCAATTGCATGGGATACCAAATTTTGGCCATTTTATTTGGCTCATGAACGAAATTGACAGTTGGATTTTGACAATAAAAATGCACTTAAAGTGGATTCACAAACTCACCGAAACATGGCCATGTCCACTAAGTGAAGACTGCAAGAGGCGGGTAAGCTTCGAATCTCGATATGGAACATGTGATGCCTTGCCCTCACTCAGTTTACCAATAACCTTCACAACAAAACCATAAAATAAAGGCATAAATTCAATTTTGTCCCTCTTCCCCAGAAAACATTTCAACTAAGGCGTGCATATTCTTTCCACTCCAACGAAAATAATGGGAAGGTTTTTGCACCACAGAGCAAGAGTGTTCCTGGATAGTTGCTTTGGTGAGACAAATTGTTATTTCATTGACAATTAATAGACTTAAATCCACCAAGTTCTTTGTTTCTGGCTGCTACCTTCCGAAAAAAAAAAAAACGCATCACAAAATGCGTCAACTTCCTTTCTAAGCATGTGGTTCATCTATTGCCCCCTCCCCAAAAAAAATAAATAAATAAACTGCAAAATGTCCATATTGAACATCTGGTGTCCAAACAAAATGCTGCAACACAATTTCCATCTAGCCAAAAATATGTAAATTGTAAACTTACAGTTCCAAGTGTCAGAAGACTTTTGTTTATGTAAGATCCTTCTTTTCTTCTTAGTCCAGTTGTTTCAGTTTTTGAGCTCTCAGATCCAGCCAAATCAATTAAGTTCTAAGAGAAGGAAACAAGCAAAAAACAAAAAAATTAGAAGCTTCTTATATGTATAAATATAACAATTTCAGGAAGACAAGAAATAATTTTCACCATACCAGCTGAGAAAATATCACTCCATCATAATCATCACCATGGGCACTGCTTTCAATCATCTACAAATGCATTAGAAAACCAACGTTAGAAAGTGTCGCTCCAGAGAGCAAACGTAAAACATTTGGCCACACACACACACACACACAAATTAACTTCAAGCCAAGAAACAGCAAGTCAACTTGTAGACAAGTTAGCACAAGCACAAGCTCACATGCAATTTATTCATTCAAAAACTAAAGAAGACCTCTTGGGCTGAGACTTGAATAATTTTTTTCTGAAGTAACATGAAAGATGGCACAGAAAAAGATTGGACACCAACTTTTAATGCTACTAAATCAAGAAAGTTTACCAGAGTAAAAATTGTGTGACTTCGGCTGCTAAAGAGATTAAAATTGTTAGATCCAACATGACGATGCTCTGCATTAAACAAAAAGGTCAACAAATTATGATAACCCAACAGGCACCAAGTACTCATGACCTCTATATCAAAAGGGGGGGATATGAATACTATCTATAAGCAGACACCTTCTCCAGCAGCAATAAAGGAAAGTGCATGCCCTGGAGATAAAACAACTTCTTCCTTTATTCCTTCAACATAAGTGCCCTGAAATAAAAGCAAAACATAAATAATTGATTGTGTCTTGAATGGTTTATAAAGCAAAATAAGGGAACTTCTCTAAAGAATTAACAGTTCAAATCAAAATAATTTCCTAGATTCTCCTCAAGTAACAAGATTTATAATTGTGTGTTTGGAATTCTAAAACAATGAGTACCATCCACGAACAAAATTTATCGGGGTAAAATGATAAGGGTGTAAGAAAGAGAGAATCTAACACAATTGATCAGTGACCAATTAATTATCTATGTAGGATTTTGAGGAGACCAATGAAAATAAAATAAAGTTAGGAACCTGTGCATCTTCTCTAACACGCAAATTCTGGCCAGTTGGATCAAGCAAATCATTTATCACCTGATTCCAAGCAGAAATGGCAGCGTGAGTTTAAATGTATTTATTAAAACAAGAAAAAGTTAAAATAAATAAATACAACAAAATCTAGCAGGCACGATGTGATAATCAGTGCTGTAAAGTTGCAGGGGCTCAATATTAGTAGTGAGAATACCAAACTCTACATAGTATGACGGAAAAAGCCACATTGAAAGTATGGATCTCAGTCACATTTAATATATATACACATGAATCAAAGCAGTGAAAGCATAAAGATGATGTAACAAGTTTCTGCGTTTACCTCATTGTAGATTTCTAAATAGGATACACGGAGAAGAAACTCTCTTCCTGGAGTCTACAGCATAATCTCAGTCAGCTATTGCAAGAAATTTACTTAAGCATGCATTTAATCAAAAAGAATGGGGTTACTTCCACAATCATTTTAAGTTGAAGGAGTGACTATAAATAAATCTCAGATAATTACAAAGATTTCTTAACAATCAAGACATGTAGCTCCAGTAACAACCTAAATTGAGCATCAAGACCAAACAAGGGGAAAAAAGAAACAGAACTGTATCCAAGACAATCAAAAGGGGAATAGCACAGTGAAGTGCAGCAAAACTATCAATGGCCAATTCAACCCAAAACCTGCGGTTTTGAAAACCTCTAAATCATTTCATTATAATCTCCAACACTCATCAACACAAACTGTTGGGCCTGTAGATAAAGCATAGGCCCATTATACCTTGTGCTGAAACTTAATTTTGATTAAGATAATGGAGAGCATCACAAATTAAACTCTTCACGGATTGACTATGGAGGCTCTAACATCATGTAAGGAACCAATTCAATTTAAAAGCTTAACATGTCAAGTGAAAACTGATGAATAGCTTATTATATTCAATGCCAAGGACAATTACAAAGACATTGTATAGGATTCGTTATACTTGCAATTCAATTGAAAGAATATAGATAGTTTGTTATACTTGCACATCAGACAATGATATAAAGAACAATGCTACACATGCACTTGGAGATAAGCATCACAAGTAAACAACGCAATTGACATTACCAAGTCGGAAAGAACACTTACATCTTGGATGATGCTGAATACATCTTTTATAGCCAATGGTATGATACCAGGAGAATGTTGATCTCCCTGCATATATTGTATTAAAATTGCAAATAAAAAAACACAAATAAAAATAACATATCATATGCACATATTGTTTACAAGAAGGAAGCAAGAGATGTTAAGAATTGGAAGTCCACCAAAATTTTGCATGCGAAAGCATGATATTATCATCAGACGTAAGGCTTCAGCCTAAGATTACTAAAACAAAAACTTGGCCCTTCCTTCACAACCCACGTATTGTCGTACAAATGCCAACCATAATCTGAGTAGTGCCATTGTCCCAAGAGGATTTCCTATCGCTGATAGTTATGCAAACAGACACCATAGAACATGGTACCACTAAGTGCATTTGGTAGAGATTGAGCAAATTCATAGCCTCGTACTAAATATATGATTGACCAAAGAAAAAAAAAATGAAAACTGTTAATACTGCGAGCGAAACGACATGTACCAGAAACTGAACATGCTTCACTAAAAAAGATAAAACGTGCCTGCTAGATTAATGTTCAAGCTATGGTTCCAATTTCAAAAATGTCAGCCCAAGCACGTAATTCTGCAGCCGAAGCTTATTGACAATCGAGTACATAGCCTTTGTTTATATAATAAAATGACACCATCTGGTGTTTTTTTCTAGATTGTACTAGCACTAGGGCTCTACATAAGTCGTCAAGTCCCTTCCAATTTTTCAGTTCTCCAACACGAGGAAGTTTGTGCTAATTCTTTAATACACAACCTCTGTCACAAGAAACGACTATAATCAGCCTCAATAGATCGTAAGACTGGAACTACATCCAGAACTAATCTTCTGAAGTTATCCTCAGAGTCAACGAGTGTGGGAAGATACCCTATTATTTGCAAAGTAACAAAAATTGACGCTTACATGTTCCAGGAAGTAATAGCGTGGGCTATGCGCTGCCGTGTTAGAAGAAATTGTGAAAATCCGCACAAAATAAATAACTCGATGGCACAAACATCAGTTGAATAGCTCTCAAATGCGTTTGGCCTGTAGCTAAATTGAGTGTAATCTAAATGACAAATTTACATTGAAATGCAATAATAGTGCGATACTCAACACTTCCATATTCAGTATAAAACTACAACAAAAAGGATAGGAAGATTTGCATCAAGCTAGCAAACGACACTTACATGCATAGTATGTGTTTTACCGCTACTCGTCACACCGTAAGCAAACACAGTTCCTGCGATGTTCGGGGTAAATTATATTTCGAATTCAACTAGCTCCATCAACTACGAGTACTAAATTTGACTTTGTCCACACGTTAATGGTAGTTTCGGGTGCAGTCCAGAGACAAACACTACATACCGTTGACGCCTTCCATGGCAGCCTTTACTACGGGTTTGGCCGCTACTTCATACACCTCATCTGAAGTCGTATGCGGTCCAAAAACTCTATCTGCCACAGTAAACCATTTCAAAATCCCAAATCAATGTTCCATATTTCTACAGGTAATGCAAATTGATCGTAAATTTGCCAGTAGATATCTAATTGCCTCTGTGAATGTACCACAAAATTACTGCATAGAGAAACAGTCAGACAACGAAATGAGTAGCATGAAGAACAATACCGAATGCATAAAAAGTAGCTGGATTGTACTCATTCCTCACTATCTTATCACCATCTGCATACCACGCGATCTCGTCCCCTCTTTGATACTCCCTCTCACTGCAACCAAATGCCCCAAAATCGAACTGCTCGATCACATTTATATCAAATAACATAATTCTAAAATCAAAAGATTCAATCTCCCCTTATCCCACTGCCAATGGATCTGATACTGCAACCTCAGATCTAAGCATTACCTCAATGGTCTGAACCGAATCGTCACCGAAATGCTATCCCCCGACCTCGGCGTATCGACGGGCTCCATAATCAGTTCTTCCGTTCCGAACCCAACAGGAGAATGACTACCATAACCGCGCGGACCACAATACATTGACTCACTACGACCACGACTTGGAGTCATGGATCGGCCAGAGTTCAAAAACGACGATGCAGAAGAAGAGCAGGAGCGAGGCATTAACCTTCCACTCATGAAAGACGAAGATGAGAAGTGGAAGAGTAAGGAGTCGATGATTTCCGGTACGAAAATGGAGAGCTGCTCCTAGCTCGTGAGGATGAGGCCATCTAATTTGCTCACTGAGGTGGTGACTCAGCTGAAACCAGCAGGAGTGAGAGGAAGATGAGAGGGAAAAAGGGACGAAGAGGGAGAGAATGTGTCAGAACGCTCACATGGCTATACAAACAAAAGCGAAGAACATTTGGCACCCTCTCGTTTTTCTTGCTTCCTTCCTTCCTAGCTTCCTTTGACTCTTTTAAGATATTATTCTGTGAGGCAAACTGAGAGAAAAACGAGAGGAGACGAGAGAGTGAGATTGTTTCGTCTTCTTTAAGACAAAGACAGTTGCTGAGTGAAGAAGAAGATCAATAACTGGTGAGAGACAGGGCGATAGAATGGAGAAGATGGTCTGAATTTAAATTTGTCTTCAATTTTCAAGTAATTTATCATTTACCATTTTGTCGGGGGAACGTTGAAATCTCAGCCGTGAATATTTTGTTATTTCAATCAATGAATACAGTTTTATTTAAAGTTTAGCTGACCGAAATTTTACATTAGTGTAACTGTCCAGTCACTTTCTACAAACATAATCTAATCTATTTTATAAATCATTAATTAATAAAATTATTTTAAATTAAAATTTTAAATTATCTTTATAAAATAAAAAATAATATTATATTATTTTTATGTTTTTTATTTGAAAGTTATATATAAAATTTTACTTATTTTTATTTTTTATATTTTTATTATATTAGTATTGATATAAAATTAATAGAAATGTTTACGAATATAATTGAAGAGAGCATGTCTGAATATTAAAAATATCAAATATGAAAGATTAATTATTTACCACGATTTTATGGATGATGACATGGCGGGGGAGGAGCGGAACGCGGAGATGTTTGATTTGAACTGGGAAAGCCCCCGCTCAGTTGATGATAATGGAGAGAAAAGTCTTCGAAAAAAACATGTTTGAGCGGGAATACCGCGGCGGCCGCCGATCCGGACAAACTAAAAATTTAAAATTAAAAATTGCAGCACAGGACAAAAACCGGTTCTGGAAAAAATTGATCAGGGCTGTGGACTGCCACGACGCCAACTCGCCGTGTGGAGGAGAGCGAGAACTACTCGCGGTAAGAGAGCGACAGCTGGTGAACCGGGGCATTTTGGTCATTCAGTTGTGAGTTTAATAAGTTGAAATGACGGTGAGACTAGGAGAGTATAACCTGTGCTGGTTGAAGGATTTTGAAGAGGAGTTTTTCTCCCATCATTTGATTAAAAAAAAAATGTCAGAGAGAGGAGTTAAAATAACCCTTCCGTCCTCCCCTCATGTTATTTCCCTTTAAATTAAAGTCCTTTAGAGGGGAGTTAATTTTTTTAATTATTTTATCTTATTTATTTTTTAATATTTTAAGTATACCCATATTTAAAAAATTTTCATTTATATCAAATTATATTTCACCCCTCAGACCTCAAGTAACCTTGTTAGATTTTTTAAAAAATTACATGTTATCATATTTTATTATATATTTAAGGAAATTACTTCCTCCATTTAAAAATTTAAGATATTTTTAATTAAATTTTATTATCAATAAAGTAATTACTTATCTTTAAAGTAACTCTATCTTTTTATTTTTATCTTTATTTAATACGGTATTTCACCCTGAAATAATATAGGGGCACTTTAAAAAAGATAATAATTATACTTTAAAAAATTAAAAATATCTTATAATTTTTAATATTTAATTCTTTAAAAAAATATTATATTTATGAATGGAGAAAGTATTTATTTTTTATAAAAAATTATTATCATTATAATTATTGGTTTAATTTTATTCACATATTGATAATATGATAAGATGAGAGTGAATTTTTAAAAATTATGCAATTTAAATTGAGGTGTTAAATTATTTTTTATAAGAAACCAATTAAAAAAATTTAAACTAATATAGAAAACATAATAATAAATTAATTATTATCTTTCCTTCTCTTATAAATTAAATAAAAAATTATTAAAAATCCTTAATCTCTCCTTTTATTTTTTTCTCTTGCCCACCAACCACCCCCCAGGGAGGGCGGGAAGTGAGACGGATCGAAAAGGTAGCCAAGTGTAAGGAACCTGCATCGGTTAGATTGGAGAACTGACCACGTCGTTCTGGGAGAGTTGGAGGTCATGTCAAGTCCTCTATTATACGTAACATGGGCCGCAGAAAAACGCCATGAGTGTGCATCTTGTCATCTTGAAGCATAGCCTGAACTTCAATCAAAACTCTATGACACTGTGTGAAATTTCTTTTATATTTGGGACAATGATATTTAATGCCTCTCAAAAGAATCTATCAGAACGAGATTTTATACGTTTTCCCATTATAATGTGAAAATAAATGTTATTGACTTATCATTCTTAAAAGTTAAACTTTAATTTATATTTTTTTATTAAAGTTTCTTTATAAATTTAATAAGTTAATATTCAGCTTTTAACAATAACACATACTCCATCTATTTAAAAATATAAAATATTTTTTAAAAAGTTAGATATTAAAAAATGTAAGGTATTTTTAATTTTTTAAAATGCAATCATCATTTTTAAAAAAAATATATACCTCTATTGATGAATGACTTTATATTTATTAGTGGTATTTAATAGAGATAAATATAAAAAAATATAATTAGTTTAAAAGTAGGTAACTACTTTGTTAAAGATGAAATTCAGTTAAAAATACTTTACATTTTTTAATAAAAAAACTCATGGACCTTTGCTGGAATAAATTTCTTTTTATAGGGCCTTAAATGTTTATTCTTTCTTTGTATTTCTATATATGGATATCCAAGAGCCAGTGCACCATACTTTAATTTAAAAATTAACGAATTTTTAAAACTAATAATTTAATAAGAAAAAACTGCAATATAATTCGTGAAATTTTTTATATATTGTCGTGATCATTAAATAATTCATAAATCTAAAAAGCCTTTGAATTCAAATATTCAAATATTATTTTAATCAATTCGTTCAAAAAAATATTATTTTAATCAAATGTAAAATATGAGCAGTGGTGGTTAAGATCGCAAATTTTTATGTGTCCTGTCTGTAACATGTCCCGGAGTTTTTGCACCCCTCGCTCATCGATATACCGTGATAACATCGCTTGGCCAGTGTGTAAATGCAAGCTAGATTGTGTGCCTGTACATTATTCACTTTCAAGATAAATCACATTATTCATATCGCGTATGATGTATAAATTATAGGGAAAATTACTATCAGGTCCCATGCAATCATTTTAAATACTCAAAATTCTCCCCAATTCCACAAATAATTCTCAGGTCCCATGGGACTCAATTGGTTGCATGGGATCTAATAGTGATTTTTCCTGAATTATATTATACATCACAAATAGGTTTCAAGGAACATTTCAATTAAGGATCATGAATGTGAGTTAATTATTAGTGAGTTTTAAAAAACTTTGAAACTTCAATTCAATATAGGGGAATTAAAATATAAATTATTTTAATGGTAAAAAGATTAAAATACCATTCACCTGTCATACAGAATTAGTTATTAATTTTTTTATTTTTTTTGTTAATTTATTAATATGAGTTATAACTTACATTAATTGATATGTTAATAATTATACAAAGCTTAACATTAGTTATTCAATTACAAACAACAATATCAGTTGTTAAGTTGTTAACTTTACTTGTTAATTTACTAACATCAGTTATGTAATTTATAATTAATGTTAGTGAATCAACAAGTAAAGTTAACAAATTAATAACTGATGTTAGGTGCTTATCTAATAAAAGAGTGTAATTTATAACTCATGTTAATTACTTAACAAGTAAAGTAAGAAGATAAACAGCTAATGATTATACATGACAAGTAAATGGTACTTTAGTCTTTTCATTATTAAATTATTTTCATTTCAATCCTCTTAAACTGAACTGAAATTTTAAATTCTTTAAAACCTACTAGTAATTAAATTACATCCATGATCCTAAGTTTAAATTCTCCTTAGATTTTATTCAAGTGTAATATGAAATAGATCACAGAGCATATTTCTATGGAGAAACTATTTTGTGAGTCCTTATAAGTTGCCTCAGTTTTGAATCAGGTCCTATAGTCTGATTTGTTAGAATTAGATATTTTTCGGCAAAGCTTGTTAATCCTCATGTCATTAGTGCTGTTTAAATTCACTGACAGTGTTTTTATTATTGCTAGCTGGATTAAATTATAACATCTGGGATGGGTGATCTCTCCTACCAAAGTGTCCTCGGTGCCATCTTCATTGAAGGCTTGATCTTCTCGCTCGTCTTCACAATTGGGTTCACCACAATTGAACTCTTCCTCTCGCTTAGAGACCCAAAGGGAGGTTAGGGAAAGCACCCATTATGATGCAGCAAATAAGGGAGGAGGCGGCCGTGGCGACGATAAAGTCTTTGATCATGCTATTTGAAATATGGATGATGGGGTATAAACAGAGAGGGACGCAGACGAAAATAGAGCAAGCTCCACCCAAGTCGACGAGGATGGAGGCATTGATTGCTAAGTTGTAAGCCATAGCAAGGAAGTTGGTGGCGGTGGCTTAAAGTTTAACGGTGAGGACAGGGTTGCACTCGGTGAGCCTTAACCATTTACCCACTCTTAACATTCACTGAGACAGAGGCTTGGGATGAGAGTCTAACAGGAGTAAAGCTAATAATCCGGGTAAGCTTGATGGGTTAGCTCGAACCCACTTGAAACAGGTTAGAACCGAACTTGATTATATTAGCTTTTTTAAAAAAAATAGAATACTTTAAACTTAATTTGAAAAAGCTCGGCTTAAATTGAAGACAAGCACTAGAATTTTTAGCTTTATATATATATATATAGAGAGAGAGTGTGTGTGAGTTAGTAATTTTAATCAAGCTCAACAAGTCAATCCAAATTTGATTGAAAAAAATTAGAATCAAGTTTAACTATATAAGCTTTTTTAAGAAGTTAGGATATTTTAAGTTTAATCTAAATAAGGTTAATTTGTTTAAATTATTGGTTTTAAGTAGGAGTGGTGGCAACACCTCCATTCCCATGAAGTCCAAATCCTAAAGCACTCCATTCCTATGATGTCCAAGTCCTAAAGCACGAATTGATTTTCTAGTGTGTGTGTGTTGTTCTGTCTTGTTCCGCACAGAGATTCCTTTTGTTCCTCTTCCTCCGGTCCATCGTGTCAAAAATAATAATCTGGCCGAACCAATCGTGTTAAAGTAACGGCGTTAAATGATTGTTAGGCATTTAAACGGTGTTTGATGTAAAAGGATTAATGAAACTAACAGTTAAAAATATAAGGGTCCATAAAACAAATAAAACTATAAGGACTTGCTTCAAAATTAAGATAAATTATAAGGTCTTACAAATATATT